AAGAAGAAGATACTTACGGTCTTTGGATCAGCCCTTCCTTCAATTACACCGATTATCTTCTTACAAGAGAGCAGCAGGTCCAGCGCATTGACTTGAATATTGGCTGCAGGTGATGGCACACCAACAAGAGCCAGAGTGCCCTCATGAGCTAGGGCTGCAAGAGAGTCCTGTAAAAGAGATGCCACACCAGTAGTATCCAGAATATAGTCCACACCATCAGGAAATATATCATGTATACCAGTTGCAAGGTTCTTGACCTCTTTGGTATTGACAGTGTGCGTAGCGCCGAGCGAGGCTGCCATTTCAAGCTTTGCGTCGAGCATATCCACAGCAACAACATGCTGAACGCCTATAGCTCTAGCTGCTAGCATTGCAGCGAGTCCAACACCTCCCATTCCAATGATAGCAATCTTAGAGTCGCTATTTGGGCAAAGCGCATTCAGTACTGTTCCAGCCCCTGTCAGATATCCACAAGAAAACGGCGCAAGAAACTGGAGATCTGATGCCTGTGCGGAGATCTTTACCACAGACTTCTCTGTGACGATGGCCATTTTACTAAGAGAGGACTGTCCAAAGAATTGCCCATGCACTGGCGTGCCATCAGGTAAGGCAATTGGTGACGTCTTGTCTGAGCGTGCGGTGGAAAGAAAATTGGTCTCGGTCATGCGGGGGCAGCTTCCGCAGCGGCCATTGAGACAAGCATTGCACCGGCCACAGGCATGGAATGACAGGAGCACCGTATCCCCTTCTTTCAATGACTTATCTGCCACTTCTGAACCTACTTGGCGGACGATTCCAACACCCTCGTGACCAAGAACAGCAGGATACTGGCCGATAGGCATCCCTCCTTGTTGGACAACAACATCCTGAAAGACCATAAGACACAATACTAGGCTTGGTTAAGGCAGAGTGACACGAACCGTATGACATAATCCTGTGTATTTGATCTCTACTAGCACCTCCGATGGTTGTACTTGGTCCAGAATGACATCGCAAAGAACAAAAGGGGCGCCTTTTTTCTCGACCACATACGCCTTCGTGGTGACGGGGGCTTTCAAGGAACTCATGGTGGATTTGTTCGATTGACTGGTGTCAAAGCTCAAGACAGTAGTAGTGAAAGTAATTATGGAAAGATTAATCTGGAAATATGAATCCTAAACATACTCTCTGTTTCATTTTGTGTTCGCCACTTTTATTGACAACCTCGGATATGGATTCCTCCCCGACCGGAACCAGAGCCGAAGCGGAACCGGAGCCGCGGTGGGCTGCGAAGCAAATCCCAAGGGCTTCCACAACGCATGGTATCCAGACTCATACAGCAGCGGTGTTTCCTTTGCTACTATTATCCTCCTTTATCGGTCTGCCATCAACGATGGAGGGGGGCAACCCACCATGCGGCGCGAACGCAACACTCTAGCGTATCTGCCTCCATGAAAATCGCTTGTGTGAATGGCAGAGTTACTGTGTTCTGGCTTTGTACACACTCTATCGCATAGTTTAGTATAGGCTATGCCTAAGCCCTTCTCAGGCGCTATCCAGAGCGGTGTGCAAAATGTGAAAGGTGAGTCGTGTCTCACTATGCAAAGTCGGAGGATCCAAGTATGATGAGGAGGCGGTTTCGAGCCGTTCATACAGGTTGTGATAAACAAGGCATGCACGAAGGCGGCATCTGGAATACTGATCACTATCTGCACATGGGGCTTCGTGGCTAGTTTCTGGTCTCCGGCCAGCTCGTAAATATATCCAGCCTCAGAAGAACAATCAAGCTTTACAGACCCCCCCTTTCTACAAAGCGATAGGTGAGTTGTTTTGACACCTCGCGGGAATGTGCTACGTAGACGTTTCTTACCCGGCTTCTGTGCTACAAGGGATATCTAGCAGATATATTCTAGTTTGAGTTTGGATACTAGATTGTTAATATTGTTAAGCTAATCATACTGGTAATCGAAAAGTCCCAGAATTATAGAGATGCGGCAACGAGCTGGTTGATCAGGTGTTGGCTATATTGAGTGTTCACATACTACCTGAATCAAGAACCTGAACAACGCTGAATGAATACAGCCTGACAGTACATACGGCTCGTTTTCCTTCTTGCCATGAGTAGCAGGTGTGTACAGTATGATCACTGGTGCATTGAAGGATCCACTATTCTCCCTGCAGACCTTCATACACTGCGGCCTCTACACTCGCCCATAGGACACCAGTTTCTGGGTCGACGAATGGAAGGATCTGTGATGCAACTATCCCAGCAACGCCTCTTTCTCGATCACACCACCAGAAGATATTGGAAAGCCCTGACCAGTGAGCCGTTGTATCCGAGCGACCGGTCACGCCGGGCGAGATCATGAAGGTAAGACCCCATCCCTGTGGTGTAGGACTCGGACAGAGGGGATACAGCTCCTCGCAGGGAGAAACCAGATCGGGTTTTATGGCAGGTAAAGGCCGTCGAGCGAAGTCTGGGTGTTGATGAATTTGATTCGTAAACATCTCTTTTACCGTTTCTGGAGAGAGGATTTGTTGGCCTGTCTGAGGTGAACGGCCATCGTTAAGGAGAGCAACTAGAATCTCTGCCAGGATAAGTGTTATGGAAATGTCTTTGGGGAAATTTCGCAGGCTACGAAGGAGGAATGAAAACCTACTACTGAACTCCCGGATGCTTCCAAACAAGCCCGCACCACCGCTGTGGAATACCTCCGCAGCTTCCTTTACATTTAACGGCTTGTTTAGAGGGTAATCTCGAGGTACAAGCCGGCCTCCTGCGCTGCGCTGCCACAAACCTACTAATCGCTCTTTCATATGTGCGGAAGGAATCATGGAAACGTCGTGGACTCCGAGGGGCGCGAAGATGGATTGTTGCATGTAGTCGTTAAGCCTCATCCCCGTGGCACGTTCAACGAGTATACCAGCCCAGTCAATACTGATCTTACTGGTCTTAGTATTGTAACTCTATCATTGCCTGAACAAAGGTATTGAACGTACACCATATTCAAATCGCTCTCCTGGTTGGTTGACTAGCGGCTGATAGAAGTCTTGCACGTATCCTGAGAACTCATTGTACTCAGGTATATAGCTGCAATGTTCTAGAAAGTATGACTGCAGTTTTTCATTCAGGAATGAATATCCGAACCCAGCTTTCGCATCACCGTACAGTTAGAGATGGTATATCTATCCATGGAAGGGATACTTGGAAGGACTTCAAATCATATCAGGAAACGGGCTTGATATGAATAGTGCTTACCGGTATGAGTCAACAGCATTCTCAGTGTAATTCCTCTGTTTTTCTCCACCTTGGACCCATCTTCCTGAAGGACACAGACTTCTTTTAACTCTGGGCATAGGCTTTCCACTTGGTCCGCATCATCGAGTCCAAGCACACCCCTCTCAACAAGCTGCATGCATGCAATGCCAGTTACCAATTTGGTACACGAAGCTAACCAGTATATGTCATCTTCGCCGTCGCGGAGCTGCCGGTCTTCTGTACCATTCTTATGCCCGCCCCCCTTTCTCCGAGTAGAGTGGCTGAAAAGCTCACATTGAGAACCATCGCCTTTGCCGACAACGATAACATTGGCGCAAGGGAGGCCAGCATTTTCATCTGCACAGGCATCGTCTATGATTGTGCGAAGGTTCGCAATCGCCTGAGGGGAGAGTGAAGCGGTTGTCATGTTGCTGTATTGCTAGACCAAACATTCCATTTCGCATACCATCTTATGGTAGGGCTCGGGAGTATATATACAGCTGCCATGGATTAGAAACAAATCTACTTCGTAAATACCGGGACCATCATCCGCCTGGTTATGCCGAGTTCAACTACGTGGGACCCCGACCTTCACACCGTCTATGATATTGGATTCTATAGTAAAATGGTACAACCCACATGGTTCTCGACCTTTCGGTAGAAGGCTTACGGATATTTTCGCAGAAGTATTTTCGAGCTTCTGACACTCACTTCCATCTGGTTCCCGTGGTGATTGCGGATGTGCTTCCTTCCGATTACCTTATAATCGGATACTATTCCGCATGCTGTCGGGTGGGTCTCAAGAGAACTTTGCCCGGATGTCAGTGGCTATTTTATATTCAATAGTACTATAGGTATAAAGTTTTGTATACCGGCGCTGTATTCGTTACATTCCTGCGGACAGCATAAGGCTAAGGCATTTATATGTACAGCATAGTATGAGTAAGTAACATGAGGATCTGAACACAAAAGAACGTTTTATCAACTAGATGTAACTAGCTAGTACTATCATGGAAACTGACATAGATCGTGATCCAGACGAATTACAACAAGGTGAAAGGGGATGCTCTTTGGCTGGTGCGTTGAATGCTATCCGCTCAAAATATACATATCAAACCTCTTGAGGTGGCCGAAGGTTCGTGGAATACATAGGATGACATACTTTCAAAAACACGGGCCAAAGGAAAAAGAAAAGAAAAGAAAAGGAAAGGAAAGGAAAGGAGAGATTAATGTCAGTCCTTCCATGTTACAGACTTAGTCCGTACCCATTCATTCAAGCCCTCGCGCGAATTAAATCTCCCGAAGCCACTCCTTTTCATCCCACCATGTGGTAAGACAGTCTCGTCGTGCACAGTCATACTATTAATGTGCACCGCGCCACTCTGGATTTGTTTGGCAATCCTGAAGCCTCTTCGCAAGTCTTCGGTAAATACCGCAGAGGTCAACCCGTACTCCGTATCGTTGGCGATCTGGATGGCCTCGTCGTCGCTAGTGACGGTGATGAGACTTACCGAGGGGCCGAACGATTCACTATGATATATGTCCATCGACGGATCCACATTTTCCAACACAGTCAAGTGCATTTTGTTTGCCCCATCGGGTATGACAGCATCATTTCTCGAGGCCCTCGAACCTTTGGATATCGCATCCTGGATTAACCTCTTGCTCTTGTTGAGGGACGCCGTGTTGACCATCTGCGCCGGCTGGTCGTGAAACAAGCTTGCCACTGCCGCCTTGAGTGCTTCGGTAAACCGCGTGGCCACTTTATCATGGACCAGAATCCGTTCAGTAGACATGCAGATTTGCCCCGAGTTGAGGAAAGAGCCCAACGCACACTCCGCCGCCGCCAATTGGAGATCAGCATCCTCACACACAATTGCCGAAGCTTTCCCACCCAGTTCCAATAGAACGGGCTTCAAATATTTCCCGGCGGTGGAAGCAATGATGGAACCCACCGCGGTGGAGCCTGTGAAGTTGATCTTCTGGACCAATGGATGGGAAATGAGTGCAGTCGTGATCGGTGCAGCGTCGCTTTGCCGGTGGTATAGAGTATTCAGGCAGCCTGGAGGCAGTCCCGCCTGGTACAGTGTATCGGCGATTGCCCAGAATGACTTGGGTGCAGTCTCTGGTCCCTTAAGCACGACTGTGTTACCGGCTGCCAGTGGCAGGAGACATGACCTAAGACCAAGGATATAAGGCGCATTCCAGGGTGCAATGGCGGTCACAACGCCGTACGGTTCCCGCACCACTAAGGCACTGTGTCCCGGTGCCGCAACTGTGGGGTGATCCCCTTGGATGGTTTGAATGAGACCTGCGATGTCCTTGCACATCTGTTGGATCAGGTCCCACTCGACATCAAAGAACATATGCCCTTCACCCGTCTCCTGGCTGACATATTCGAATAGCTCATCCTTTCGGCGCGCGAAGATCTCCGCCGCACGGAGGAAGATATCTCGTTTCTCTTGTGGCTTTGTGCGAGACCAAGTTTGGAAAGCCCTGTTGGCGCTCTCGACCGCGACGGAGACGTCCGCCTCGGACGCAGTAGAACACTGGTACAGAACCTCATGGGTTACTGGAGAAATCACATCGAAAGTCGACGGTGTGCAGATCTCTAAACCATCTAGCCATAATGGAAGCACTGACGCCTTGTGGCTGGTTGGACCGGCAACTTCCATGGCAGATGCTGTAAGAGGCATTTAATACCGATCACGAAATCTGAATTGAGCAACCACTGGAGAATGTGAACCTCGTGGAACTGGCGGTACCACGAGCCACCTGTTATACAGACCGAACCTTCATCTGGAATCTGATCTACAATACTGCCCCGTGAACATGAACAAAGTGGTGGAGTCGGCACGAGATCCGCAGCTGGAACGACGTCCGATCGGGCACAGCAGATTCAGCGAAGCTAGAAATTTGCTGGGGCTTCAGAGGGATTGGCTGGATGTAGAGCCCATGCAGTGACTTACGTTATTGAAGATGTGATGTTTTGCTGAAAATACTAGTGAGGATATCTAGCCGCGTAAAATGTGGAACGCTTGAATGAGTTGATTGATACGGATTGTTCTATATGGAGATTTGACGCAAGCTATCCCTTCGGCCGAACCAGGTAAGGGCGCAAATAGGAGTGATACATTTGTAGAAACTTAAATCATGATCATCATTCGAATCAATGCTGGTAGACTACTTCCAAGCGACGTGAATGGCGGCCATCGTATGTGCCATGACGACACATGCGGATGTGGATCCGCATGCCGATGCGGGTGTGTTTCCGCCGTTTTGCATGGAAGTTGATATATGTTTGCCTGGGAAAAATATACACCGAGAAGGTTGATTTACAGGATGTAAGGAATCTGTATCGATTCAAAATCCAGACTCAGCTGAGAATTGAAATTTGTGACGTTTTATTCATCTAATCCCTTTGCTCACATCACGATGGCTGGTGTTCCAGGATTACTCGCTGGCAAGGTCTCCATCGTGACTGGGGCCTCCTCTGGTCTGGGTCGCGCAATTGCACTAGCATTCCATAAACATGGAGCGACGGTCGTCTGTGCAGATCGCAATGCCTCGAGCAAGGTGCCACAACAACCAACGCACGAACTCATCCAGGCCGGCGCGGGACAGAGCATCTTTGTCCCAACCGATGTCACAAATGCCAGCAATGTGAAGGGCTTAGTCCAAACTGTGGCGGATAAATTCGGTCGTGTCGATGTGTATGCTCCGCGGCTTCGTTCGGTGATGCTTTGCTGACAGGGCAGCAGAATGGTGAACAACGCAGGCGTTGCTCCGGAAGCATCAAACCCGTGTCCCGTCAATAACACGACTGAAGAGGTCTTCGATCTGACATGGCAGGTCAATGTGCGAGGAACATTTTTAGGGTGCAAATATGCTGGTGCGCAGATGCTTCGGCAGCCGAGGATTGCGAGTCATCACAGCGCAGGCGCTATCATCAATGTATCATCGGTCTTGGGCCTGCTCGGCCTCTCAGGGACGCCGGCATATGCAGCTTCAAAGGGTGCGGTGATTGCCCTGACGCGCACTGTCGCTATGGATTACGCAGCTCATGGGATTCACTGCAATGCCATCTTACCGGGGTGTATGGTTCCCCATCCTTTCCATCTCCATGCCTGCATTGACGACCGACTGACGAGGTCTTGGTGGATATCCAGTTACGCGAACGCCCATGATCGCCTCGATGACGGAGGATAGCGAATTTGAGAATGTATTGAAAGAATGCCATCCGCTCCAACGAATCGGAGATGCGGAAGAGATCGCAGATGCGGCGGTCTTCCTGGCAAGCCGATACTCTAAAGGTATCACGGGGGTTAACCTGTCGGTGGATGGAGGATTACATGCCCAACTCCGGCTGAAGTGATCCCCTTTCATACCCGATGCCTCGTACTGGGTTTAGTCAGTCACTGTTTCACCCATTCGATTCGTTTATTTGAATATACCATGGACTTGAGCCGGCACGGATACTGGGTCTTTATCCCGTGCTGGCCACACTTCTTTGGGGACCCTAATTCTTTATTATTATGAGATGCTGCGAATTTCAAGTGCATGCAACAGTACAATCCAATAAAAACTTTGTTGTGTACGAGGAGGACGGCTAGTGATGACGGCCACTCCACCAGAATGCTACTAGTAAAGTGGAGTCTGTATAGTATGTCCCATATATCTGTTTAGGAACTATATCGGCCAATTCTGCTGATTTACACGATACAATACGCATGTCTATTCTATATGGACGTCGATATGGATATTCCAAGATCATACACTTAAGACTTTCCTGTAGTTCCATAGAATAGTTCACGAACAACTATGAACTGTTGACTAATATATAAAGCAAGGGCATGCCGGCTGACTGGTTGATCCGGCCGACGGTCACCTGGTTTGGTTTAGTCAGGGATGAATCCAAGCTTTTCCATAAGGGGCCACAACCAAGTCTTCCAGTTTTGGGTGACGCTATCGACCGCCTTGGGATTTCGTCTACGTTTCTGTGCCGATCCACAGCGGATACTGCGCAGTATATTTGATTCAACTTCCTCCTTCTTTCCGAGTGCGGGGTGCTACCCCGGGTGGGGAATCTTGCCACTGAGCCGGGCAAGCCGATCTATTGGGTTTTCTCCCAAGAAGGTTCCGCGCCCCTCTTATGTTATGTTATTTATGGACTTCCCTAGGATGCGTACCCGATACATGGTCGCGACTCCGTCTCCAGCAATAATTCCTGTTTTTATGGCCATAAACATAGGCAAATGTCTCCCACAGAGTCCGCTGGTGACCGCAAACGACGTCGAATCGCCGTCGCTTGCAATGAGTGTCGCGAGCGAAAGAGAAAATGTGACGGGGTGAAGCCCGTCTGTGGCGCGTGCGTCAAAAGGCCTTCTCCACGGTGCGTCTGGGATGCAGGACGAAACGCGAAAGGGTGGAACCACAGGTATGACCATCCCTAGAGTCGAGTTCGTTTGTCACTCACATACCCGTCTAGTTACGTCGAGTCCCTAAGAGGCCGAATCCAAGAATTAGAAGAAGGACAAGCAATGGCCAATGCCTTACGGGTTGGCCATCCATCAGCTCGGCAGGCTGGCCAGGGCGAGGCTGCCGGTCCACCCGGACTCTCGCCTCGGCAACTCCTTGCAGATGAGACAGATGGGCTTGGACTTCGGACACCTCAGCAATCTATGACCTCACCAGAGATGGTTGGAATGCCAGAGGCGACAATGCCGGCTTCAGCCAGCGATGGGCTTTCTTCCTACTCGACCGCCGCAGGACTCGCGGACGCCGTGCGGTCAGGGATGCTGGACAGGCGTTCTGTCGTAGAGGACGATGACTCTGATGATGAGTCTGCCATTGATGCCATGGGTGTCTTTGGGTCCTTTGACGATCGAGGGCGCCAGGGATCCAGCTTTTTCGGCTCTACAAGCACCGTCAGATTTCTCAGCCATGCTCGTCGGGCTATGAGTCAAAATGAGAGCGGCCCAGGCGCATGTCCATCGAGGAGTGGGCTACCTGGAATTTTACAGCAGGAAGGAATTGGGGGAGGAGGGCGCTCGCCGTCAGCAGTACGCATCAAGTCCAATTCTAGTATCAGGCGCGGGGAATACCAATTTAGCATCCCACCACGACATAAGGCCGACACCCTACTCGATAGGTACTGGACCTATGTTCATTCCCTGTATCCATATCTACACCGCTCATCGTTCACCCAGAAATATCTGACTCTGTGGTCGGCGGCGTCAGACCGTCTTTCCTCCAAAGCCTCGAAGTCTCCGCCAAGCCAAAGTTACTACTGCAATATAGATGAGAGGCTGTTCCATTGCCTACTCAATCTGGCTTTTGCCTTAGGATCTCAGTTCGGCCCAACCATGGAGGACGGTGATCGAAGTCAGCTGGGGTTGACATTCTTTGAGCGTGCTAAAGCGCTGATGGACTTTGATCTCCTCGTCCAGGGCAACATCTTCCTCGTGCAGATGCTCATACTTATGGGCCTGTATCTTCAGAGCACTGAGATGGCCAACGCATGCTGGACCATGGTCGGCTTGGCGATTCGCACTGCGCAAGGCATAGGTCTTCATCACGAACCCGAATATTGTGAGCAGGGGTGTTGTTCAAAGACGAAGCCAAGCCAGCTGGAGATCGAGATGCGCCGACGAGCCTGGACCGGCTGCATCCTCTTGGACCGGTAAGTCATTTTTTTCATGAAGACGGTTCAGGATACTTGGTCTAACATTCCCCAGGGTCTGCTCCATGACATTTGGGCGGCCATTGATGATCCATCCCGCCATATCCCAACGCTGCGTCCCCCCGTCTGCCATCGACGATAGCTTTCTATCCCAGGGTCCTGGTATGACAGCATCCCAGCCGGCAGATATTCCCAGCGTGACTGAATTTTACGTTCAATGCATCCAGCTGCAAAATATCCTCGGTGAGATTCTTGAGGCTCTATACTATGAAAGCAGCGATCAAGGAAGTGGAAAGCTCGACGTCAGTTTCAATTTCATAGCGGCATCCACAGCCCACGACAAACTCAACGATGGTGGATTACAGGTGTTACTCAGGCTCGACAAGTCCCTTACTTCCTGGTGCCAAAGGTTGCCCGCTCATCTAAAAGCTCGGAACTATAATTTCACGGCGTTGGAGAGCCGTCGTCTGTTCGGGCCGGGCACTCCCACGTTCAATCGACAGGCAATCATTCTTCATGCAAGGTTTGTGTGGATCTTTAATCAGCTTCTGCTAGATGATGCGTTACTCATATTGCTCAATTGGTAGGTATCTTCACGTACGATTGTTTATGTTCCGTCTGGTCTTGTCAGCGGCGCTTTTCCATTCAAGTGGTCAGGACACCCCATCGAAGACGGATCCCTCGATGGAGTCGGCGATGCGACAAGACGTCCTGGATAAAGGTGTCAATTTATGCGTGTCATCAGCCTACGACCTCGTCGACCTAATTACGTCCAATCTACACATCCACGATGATATCCTTCCTCCATTCTGGCACAATGTTTTCTGTATGTGCTCCCATATCACCCATTAAATTCCGGTTACTGATCCATCACCTCATCTAGACATGCATAGCTGTGCAATTGTCTTTCTTATCTGTCACCTCTGCTGCCTGAGCCGCATCAAGGATGAGAATATCCTTACTACAGGCTGGAATAAATGCTTAAGCTTCTTCCGCTCCTATCGATCACAGAGTCGATCTGCCAAAAGGTGTCTTCGAATCATGGAAGCCGTTCGGGGGGATCCTTTCCCTCCCCAAAACTGTAGGCCCCATTGACGTGCTGTACCCGAGATGTACCGACTCATTGACCACACATGCTTAGATACTCATCCTGTCAACCTTCGTGACAGCTCGTCCAGTCAGTGCCAAAATGTATTGTTACAACACGAGATGGAGTATCCACGACACTTCTTTGAACCGGCCATGCCCGGCGATCAAACGACAAGTTGGATAAGTGATCCTGTTGAAATCAATTGGCTCTCGATATTCCCTTTCGTAGAGGGCCTAGATGATGGGAATTCAGGGTTGGGCGAAATTGGCCTGGAACCGGACGCGATGCCAGAGCACCATTGATTTCTAAAAATACTCCTACACATAGTTGTAGTGTTATATACCCTTGTACTATCATGAGATAGTACCCTCATGGCCAGTGACATACCCCTCCACCACCTTATTGTCCTAATCTAATGAAATAACGGAATTACAAATTACAGTCTTCTATTGTGCGTTTGGAAAGCTTTGACATTGGAACGAGAGATCAAATCTGCACTAGAGCGACAGAACGCACCGCCCATTTTTTGCACATCAAACAGACTCTGCAAGCGGCCACTTGAACATTTGCGTATAGTGGGAAACGGAAATGACTGGACTTAGCATGACTTTGTGCAGCACGTTCAGGCTGGGCAGATTTCTAACGAACAAGCCGGGCCCTTCGTTCCGTGTGGTCTGCCCTACTTCAGTCGAGGAAACAAGGCGAGACTATTCCCACGGTTAATCTTATCAGTGAGGCTTGCATCCTCAAACTGGTAGCTGTCCTGGCGTGATGTGTGATAGTTGATGATATCATTGTTCGCATACGGCGTGTCGCTGCCATACAGGAGATGGCCAGGCTTGGCGAATTTCTCCATGACACGAAGCACGTTCTCCGAGCCAGCAACCGCTGTGTCGTAGTAAAAGTTGCGAGCATCATCTAAGAAGGCGTTCTGCTCCTCTGGTGTCTTGGCCAGGATGCTTGTGGGACGGCCGATCAGGAAGGGCAACACGCCACCCGCGTGGGACAAGATGATCTTGCAGTTAGGGTTGTTCCGGACCGTCTTATTATACAGCATGTCGAGGGCGGTCTGGGTCGTCTCGAATGGGTACCGGATAACCGGCTGTGCCAGGCCACTGACTTGGCTGATGTCAACTGGGTGGGTAGGGTGCACCAAGATGACGGCTGAGCGACGGTTGAGCGCGGCCCAGATGTCCTTGAAGTCCGGGTGACCTAGGTAGTGGTTATCCTCGCCATACCGGGTGAAGAGTATCACACCATCGGCCTTGAGCACGTCGTATGCATAGTCAAGCTCCTTGAGCGCCCGTTCCTTATCCATGAGGCTGGGCAGCGACGCGAAAAAACCGTACTCTTGGGGCTTCTCGTCGCGGAGTTGTGCAGTATATTCATTGGCTCTGCGCGCCAGCTTGGCTGAGGCCTCAGGATCTTTCAGGATACAGGCTCCCGGGGCCGTCAAGGAGAGAATGCTAGTCCCGATGCCAAACTGCTTGTTCACCTTCGCATCCAGCTCGGGCGTCCAGTCGGGGATGAACCACCCTGATGGATCACCACCGCAGCTTTCCAGAGCTGATTATGGAACTGGTTAGACAACGAAACAATCACAGTCTGCAAGATGAAGAAAACATTGGCTGACCTTCACGGTAAAAGTCCGGGACAAAATGGTGGTGGACGTCGATTCTGTTGGTGGCAGACATGTTTTCAGAGGAAGTGAGATTAGTAAATATCAGTGTATCAAGTAATAGCTGTTGTGGTTCTTTCGAGCTTATCAAAACTATTCTCGGTTCCTCGAGATAAGGCAATCTTTTATAGGTGACATCTACACCAGTGGCTTTCCACGCGTGCGGCATGGCGTCCACCGTGACCACTGGGATCTCCCGCAATTCCGCAATTGTGCCAGCGTTACGCACACTGGCTACCCATAAATAACAGGTGCTGATCCTCGGAGGTTTCCCCAAAGGTTCAGTAAAAATGTGGGGATGATGAAGCCCGGGTTCACATCCGCATCCCCCCCCGGATCGTCTACCGCACCTCTTTCCGGAAAGGCGGCGTGCGGAGAAAGCTTCATTGAACGTTGGTGAGGCCAGCCATGTCATATATAAGACATTGGATCAGTTCTAACTATCATTCTTTGGCAAGTTTGAGTTAGCCGTGACCCAGTTCTACCGTACATCATGAACCACCACTCCTCTGACCGCGTCCACGATGTGATCATCGTTGGCGCAGGGATTTCCGGCATCAACGCTGCCTATCATCTCCAGCGCAAGCTCCCCGAGTTCACTTACTCGATCTTGGAGGCGCGAGAGAATATTGGGGGCACATGGGACTTGTTTCGATACCCTGGCATTCGATCGGATACTGATCTCCACACATTTGGCTTCGGCTGGAACCCTTGGAACGAAAACCGTGCAATTGCCGATGGGGGCTCCATTGCGAATTATTTGCGCGCTTCGGCTGAAAAGGAAGGCATCGATCGACGGATTTTATTTCGACATCGCGTCGTCACAGCCAATTGGTCCACGGCCAAGCAGCAATGGGACTTGGACGTGGAGGTCAAGGGCGGCAAGCGGATCGCGCTCCATGCTCGATTCCTAGTTTTAGGAACTGGATACTATGACTACACCGAAGCGCTTCAGCCCAAGATTCCAGGGCTGCCCAACAACTTCACAGGCACGGTGGCACATCCACAGTTCTGGCCCGAGGACCTTGTCTATGCCGATAAGCGAGTCTTGATCATCGGCAGCGGTGCCACGGCCATCACCCTTCTTCCCAATATAGCGGCCAAGGCGGCGCACGTCACAATGTTGCAGCGCAGCCCTACGTATATTATGTCCCTCAACAACACGACCGGCGTCTCGTGGAGACACAAGCTACTGCCGCGCAACTGGTCGTTTCAAATCGACCGCTGGATTTTCATGTGGATGATTTTCTTTATCTACCACTTTTGCCGACTCTTCCCGGAACGATCTCGAAAGTCCCTGCAACGAGCGGTTGAGAAACAGCTTCCCGACCACATCCCTGTTGATCCGCACTTCACACCACAGTATAAGCCCTGGGACCAGCGGCTATGCTTTGCACCCAATGGCGACTTCTTCGAGAGCCTGCGCTCCGGCAAGGCGAACGTGGAAACTGGTCGGATCAAGACCATCACGGGAACCACAGTCCACCTCGAGTCGGGCCGACAGCTGGAGGCAGACATCATTGTGCCGGCCACGGGATTAAAACTAGCGCTTGGTGGACGCATCCAAATCCACATTGACCATGAGCCTGTCGACCTGGCAGATCGCTATGCCTGGCACTCAGCCCTCTTGCAGGACGTGCCTAACCTCGCCTTCATGATGGGATACATCAACGCATCATGGACACTAGGCGCCGAGACCACCAGCCAGATCTTGTGCCGAATCTGGCAACATATGAAGAAGAATGGCTACAACACTGTGACCCCCCGCGTACCGACCGGGTGTGCCATTGAGCCGCGGATGATCTGGAACCTGGACGCGACTTATGTCAAAAAGGCGACACGCAGTATGCCTCGATGTGGCAACTTTGGGCCATGGAAAGGCCGGACCAGCTATGTCGTAGATCTTTGCAAGGCGAAATACGGGAGTGTCACTACGGACCTGGAGTTCATCCCAGCAAGTCAAAAGTCGCAGTAGCCTGAAGCTTCGTTGCTCCCTTTCTTATTTACTCGTTGTCTGTATAGCATAGTATATATGATGTATGTGATATACCAAATAGTAGAGTGAAATGAAGGCCGTTCCGTTGTTCTTTTTCTTTTGTTTCTTCTTATCTCTGTTTTAACCAATTAGTTTAATTTTGAATTTCAGTTTCCTGCGTTGCATTTTCTACACCAAATCGTAAATATGTCCCCAGCTGCTTTCTCTCTGTATTAACCCTGAGGAAGGGTCAGATATTTATCTAGATATCTGTAGTTATGTGAACACAGTGATTGCTTGGTTGATACTAGTAGATGTTGAAGAACAGGCGTATTCTAGCGATCACAAAGATATTCATGACGAAGGGGTACAAATACTGTTGCTCCGCATAGGCTGATCTTCCAAGCTGTAACAAGCGAGAGGGAAGCCACTAAGTAGCAAGATACCAAGCTCATGGCATGTTCATGGGATTCAAAGGGTATTACCAATTGGATCCGATCCAATTATCTATCTCCGCGCATCTTCGTCTGGTTGAACATTCGGATGAAAGAAGCTTTCAAGAGGCGGAGTCTGACCCGGACGGCTTAGCGACCCTGCGGAAGGCCATCCGTTAAGGTTCCCACGGATCCAGTTCCCTCCTGCCTATTTGCATGTATACCCCCACACGCCTTCTTTGCGGGGAGCTGCGGATCTGGGGACCCCAGGCTCTTCGTCCCTGCATTTCTCTCCAGTACGGGGCCCCGCAATCCCCAAGCAGAATTAATATTTAAGCTTGAAGTCAGAACCAAACTTTCCGATGTCAATAAGTTTACCAAGTAGTTGTCTTCTCTCTATCCTTCTGAAGGAAAACTTGGATCACTCCAATCATATCCTACCCAAACTACGTTATCCCTCAATTTCTCTGCTCCTCTCCCGTTTGCTTCTATCATATTCAGCACACACAGAATGACTGGCCCAAAGCAGCTCAGTCATACCACTCTTACCGATGGCTTCTTCTTCGGAGAGGCGCCTCGATACAAAGACGGCCTACTCTACATCAGCGACATGACCGGCCGTACGATTCACAGCATTGACACGCAGTCCGGCGAGAATAAGGCGCTGTGCACGGTAGAAAACCAGCCGAACGGCATGTGCTTCACGCCGGACGGGGCACTGATCTGGTCGTCCATGTTCGACGCCAAGCTGTACCGGCACGACTTCTCGACCGGCAAGGACACGCTGTACGCGGACATGTCGCGCGTGATGACCGGCTACTGCGGCGACATGACGGTGGACAGCACGGGGCGCGTGTACGTGGGCGACACCGGGGCGCGGGTGCTGCACGGCGAGCAGCCGCGTGCCGGTCGACTGTTGGTCGTCGAGACGGACGGGTCCGTGGACGTGGCGGCCGAGGACATCATGTTCCCGAATGCGCTCTTCATCAGCAACGACGGGGAGACCATCTACTGCGCCGAGACGTTCGGGTATGGCCTTCTGCGCTGGGACATCGGTGCTGCTGGCCGCATGGCCAATCGCCAGAAAGTCTGGTCGCCGGCCGTTTTGTCGCCCTCGGGCCAGACGGGGAACACGGAATCACATGGCATCGTTGGCATCGATGGCGGATGCATGGATGCTGAGGGCGGCATGTGGCTCAGCCTGCTGGGCCTGGAGAAGTTTGTGCGTGTTGATCAGCAAGGCAATGTGACCCATGAAATTAAGGTCGACGGCCATGCTACCGCCTGCACGCTCGGCGGCCCTGATGGTAACACCTTGTATTTGGTCGTCAATTGGGTCCCGGAGCATGAGAATCTCTTCACGGCTATGGTCGCTAAAAGGACCAAGTGTACCGTCGGCTATACCCGGGTTGACGTCGGGAAAGGCACGGCCAGCCCTTAGCGGGTGCTGCATGTTGGATTCTATTCTTGTCTTTTAGTAGTTAGGTACCGAGGTCAGCGATCTTTTCAGTTACTATTACGTGCACACCCAGCGGTTAGCTATGAGAAATACGGACTTAATTCAGACAATTTGCCAAACGTGTGGTAGCAAAGAAAGGACAGGAGCGAAGTCAGACACTCTATGTCCCTGTAGAGCTCTGTATCTATTCCTAGCGGAAGCTGGTCATGTCCTATCAAGGCGGGATAACGTAGTCTCCAGGCTACACATTTAGGCTTCCAGGCACTACCAGGGTCTTCTTCCTCTTCCTCGTCCTCATAACCGCTCGGGTCAACTTCCTCACGAAGGAGGTCAAGCACAATATACCACAGATCTATCCCGAGAGAGAAAGGCGGGAGCAAATGCTACTTCTGTAAGTAAGCTGGTAGTACCATCATAAAACGGGTTGCCTATGGTGGGAATTGATCGTATTCTAACAGAAATGTCTTGACATCTGTATCTATATGTACCTTGAATAAACTCCAGGCAATCTGCTGTAATAGAAAACAGAAGATCATTTTATTGTTGGTGCCTAAGCCAAGACAGTAGTACCTACATGCCTGCCTATGCAGATCCACTACCGATGCTGCCACATTCACGGCTGAACAGCCCAGGTTTGTTTCTCCTTTGTACATACCCCAATTGTAGAGATGCGAGATGTTGTGAATCCGGAATACCAAAATTGGTTGCAAAGAAGATAGTTAACAGTTCTATATTTCAGGTTTAATTGTTGAGAGTGCTTTTTCCTTTGCCATCACTTGACTACGTTTCAATCGCTGCGTTACTCTTACTTCCAGGTTTCCACCAAGGTCTTAACATAATTACAGACTCTAGCCACATGCATCTGAAAAGCCTTCGTGCCATCCAGACTCCTCTGACGGTAATTAGGAGGTCGCCACTGAGGTATACTTGAACGACCTATTGGCTCCGCGAAATTCTACATGAGCCGATGCCACCTTACTCATATCGAGCTCCGGGTTTTCTGACTCTCGAACCACAAGACGCCAGGTGGCGAAGGGCCCAACCGCTGCAATGGAACCTGCCTCCTCACGCTTCAGTCCGCCAGTCCAGGAACCCCGCAAAGCATTTTGTTGGCTGAGCATTGCCCGAGACGTAAGATCCTTTGTACTGCTCACCCGGGCCGCATCGTATTCAAATGGGATAGTGAGCATGTCGTGGGAGAATTCTAGGCGATCATGGTTGTCATCCTCGAATACCTCAGGCCCCAAGTGTTCTATGTGAACCAGAATTCGCTGGCGCCCGAGCCCATCGGGCCGGACTGATGCACCCACGAGCCAGAACCGAACTTCTTCCAGACGGACATCCGCACGGCCTGCGCCAAACGGGCTATCACCGGGGGCAAAGTTGAGGGAGACCTTGTAGACCATTTCTGGCTGACCGTTTTCCTTTTGTCCGGTCGTCAGCTCTACTAGTTCGGATTCTGTGAGGTCGTAAAAAAGGCCTTGTTCATCGAGCGAGCCGGGCCATACGGAACGTACATCGCCCGCGTATCGATTGAGAATATTTTCGAAGGCATTGTCCAGGTCTACCCGATCGAGTTTGAGCTTTTGGGAGTTTCGAAGAGGACCTGGCTCGGATTGCTCGAGATCCTTTTTCAGACCCCAGAACTTGACCGCACGGCTTGCAAAGTCCAGTCGTTGCATGAGTTGGAGTTGGAAGTTGTCTCTGGTTTTACGAAGCCAGAGCGACACTGCTGGGATGGTGGGGTCCAGATCCAGCTTCTTATCAGCCATGCTCATTGCCTGGGCGCGAGCATACTCCTCATCGTGGCGCGCTTCAAACAGCAGATGGATGAACGAGTTGTAATCTACCACTGCCTCATTCCGTTGCAGGATGGTTGCGATATACGCATCTAAGGCCCCTTGTATCTTCTTCCGGGAACCTTCCTCAATAGCGTTTGCGAACTTTTGCATCAGCTTCTCAATGTCCTCTTTTTTGGCCATTACCTTAAGGGCTTTAGGATCATCCAGTGCAATAGTGTTGTCCTTGGCGGTTCTGAGTGCACTTTTCAATGACTCCAGACTGTCGGTACACTCTGTGATTTGCCCCATGACGTATTCTTTGTTAAATAATTTGCCATTTTGATCTTTCACGTCCGTTAGGGCCTCCCTATACAGGTCGTAGAGCTTTTTCAAAGACCTTAGGTCTTTTTTCAATGAAGTTAACGTACACAAACCTTCAAAGATATCGAGGTCACATTTCAACTGGAGTCGGACCACTTCTTCCTTGATCTTTTGGTGCTTCTCTTTCATTCTATCGAAAGTGCCGCAATTTTATCTGCAGTTTGAGACAGCGGACCGTTGCTCCCAGTAAGCAAGGCAATTTTGTTCTTTGCCTCTTGGGCAGCGTATCCCATCTTATCGATACCGGCATCGATTAAAGTCTCCGTGACAGCATCCTTTTGAAAGGCATCTCTGTACTTTGACTCGAGATCCTCGATCTCTTTGAGCACATTCAGTTGATCCTCGAGGGTTCTGGCGTAGTAGTCAAAGGATAAACGGGGAACCCAAGTATGACCATGCCCAAACATATCCTGGCCCAAGATCAATCGATTCAGCCGGCTTTTCGCCTGTCCGTGAATTGCCTTAAGCTGACCAGCAGAATTCCTAGTCACTTTAAGAGTTTCTTCTAGGCCAGAAATAGCTGCCCAAAATCCTGAAGATTTGTCGGCTTTCCCGTCTGTTGCAAGTGTCTGGACCACATTCAGTCGTCTGATCAACTGCTCGTATTGCTCCACTGCCGGACCACGAGCTTTCCACTCCTGGCTGAAGAACTGACTGTCAGCCTTGTTGAGGAGCATCTGGCATTGCTCCGGAAAGATGTAGGCCTGGGATACTTGGAGGTCTTTCTTTGATCCGTTCAGCTCCAGGAATCTTAGGTTTGTCTCTCCCTCAACGCCCTCTGCGCCTCCTGGACCGGGCTGCAGGCCTGGTCCACTATGCCCACCAGGCCCACCGGCTCCTACATCAGTGTCAGTTTATGATAAATTCAAGATGATCACGGGGTGAACAGGGCTGACCTCCTCTGTTGCTTTTTAACTTGGGCTCAATTGCGTTGCGTATAGCCAGTTTTTCTGATTCCAACGCATCCCATATATCGTCCAGCAAGCTGCAAAGTGGAGAATTCTTCGTCGGAGACAAGGCTTGGATCCGCTCTTTAACCGCCTCAAGCGCTTGGGCAAGATTCGAACTATCGTCGAGGCCTGTTATTGCATCCTCTAGTGTTTCAAACGTGGTCTGGGACAGCGGTGGGGCTTCTGTCACAGACTCGAGAGTCTTTTCGATCTGGCCCAACAACTGAGAGACCGAATCTTTAACATTGGCCGATTGGTCACTTTCAGGTATACCTCGGAGTGCCTGTGCCAGTTTGCGTATCATTTGTGCCAGAGATTGATACTGAGCTAGGGTGCCCTTCTGTTCCTCCGTGATGAAGCCAGCGACAACATCTGGGACCGCGGGTTCAAGAAGACTGGCGACTTTCTCTGGCCAATGCAGCCTATCAATATTTCGAAGGGCCACAATCGCATCGACGGGCGTAGTTCCAATGACTACCTCGATCAACCCTAGTATAGTTTGTCAAGATTTGGAATACATGGAATTCGCCTCAAGCGCTTTCTTACCTCCTTTACCACCGTTTCCTCCCTTTCCTCCCGTTTTGCCTGAAGCAACCGTCTTACCGCCGTGGCCTCCATTTCCGCCCCGAGCATTGAGCTCCAGCTTCTCGAAGTCTTTGCTGTTGAAATCTTGAACAAATATCCACACACTCCCCGCATCCCCACCCGGTTGCCCAGCTCCGCCGTCCTCACTTGTCTTCGGGTCTCCTACTTTCCCATTTTTGCCCGAGACATCCACTTTGACATGCTCTGGGATAAGGATTTTACTGCAGAACAGACCGAGCTTTTTCCCGGGAATTTCCAGCTTTGAAGTGATTTCCACTACCTCCGCATAGATGAGACAGGTAGTCGTGCAGAACTCGAAGTCCTTCCCGATCACGTATTTTTCAGTCGTGTCCAGAATGAGAGTGGTGTCATTCTTCCTGAACAGAAAATGATCATCGTTCGGGTATATTTTCTGCTCTGACATTTTGGCGGGGGGAGGGGGGACCAGGTGACAGAACTAATGACAGGGAGAATCACGTAGGGGATTTGACCATTTATTCAAATATATCCATACATACATACATACATACATACGTATATGTATATAGTCTTGGAGAGGACACTGTTTCTTCTTCCCCCCCGCCCCCCAAAAAAGACATTTCTCCACCCCTAGAATACTTGAGGCCTATAATTCCATGTCCACTGCACGAAACCCGAGCTAACCCATCACGATGCATGTAGGCTACCACGGGCGATGTTCATACGAGGAAATGATACGCAAGTAGCTCCATAGGCACCAGCACAATCTTTCTGTACCCACTCTGCTACTGTACAGCTCATGCATTGTTCAGCTCATCATTCTACAGGCGACCCGTGACAGGTATAGAGCTAGCGCTCACTAGTTTCAAATGCAAAGGGGTGCGATATGATCTAATAGGTCTTCGGTCAATGGTAGCGCTATATTGTATGACTAGTGAAAAGAAGTCTGTATCGTCTCAGCTGTGATGATATAAAGTACATGTTTTTACTTGGTGTACAGGAGCAGATTTCTTTCTCCAAATTCCCCAAAGCACAAGGGCGAAAGTTCGCTCATAACCTTTAATTCACCTTTTTCTTTGAGTCCTATCATGGCGCAATTAGCATTTGAAGACTTGGTGGCGGAGATGGCAGGCAATGAGACCACCAATGACCACGATGTGCTCGTCGCGTATTCGGAAGCCAAGATCAACGAGCTCCTCAGGAATTACTCAGACTCCGCGCAGAGGGAGCTATCCCTCGGTCCGTTTACCATGCAGATATACGATGAACGCAACGACGAATATTATGAGAAAACTCTCTTGATGCAGGTAAAGCCTCCTGTGTTGCGGTTTGAAGGAACTGAGGATGTGATTCTTAACTACGACGTTGCTGGGGGAACCACACAAATCGAGGACGAAGAGGAGAAGCCGTTGCCTGTTGGACTGTATCTACAGCTCAAAGCTAAGCTCGGAAATGTCTCCGGAACTGTCGACAGTGCAAACGAATTTAATGCAGATGAAAATGGTGAGGCCAGGCGTGCAAAATACAAAGTGGTTCTCAACCCAGCACGGGAGCAGGCAGCTCAATGCGTGTTTATAGACATGAAGAATGTCATAGCAAGCGTGAAGCCCAAACCGGACAGCTCCGAACTGGCAGAAAAAGTGGCCAGGTCGCTTAACAGTGCCTGTAGACAGATTCAAGCCTACTTCCAAGGAGCAAGCGAAACCAGGTATTACTTGGGTGGCGTTTCCAACACCTATGCTTCAGATAGGGACGCGCATGTTTTACGCCCTGTATCCTTTACATTTTCTATTGCCAGTGCTGGAACGGAGGAAGCAGCACTCTGCATGTGGATTGGGGTCAGTGGTGGTGGTCAAAATGGTACACGCCAAGCAGGACCTGCACCCGTCGACTTCCATCCAGGTAAATATTCTCGCAACCCGGTGCCGGTTGGCAGTACGGCCAGCATTATCCTCAGTCACGATATTATCTGGAGGCAGTTCCTCAAGGTTTGTTCACTGGTCCATGCACGGTTTGCCGAGAGATATCCAAGCTGACACTCTCAAACATAGCCAAACCTCGACAAGATCTTCCTCGAAGTTAGCGCCTCCCCTCATACAGAGACCGGTGAGATTCCAACAACTTCCCATTACTGAAAATCGGTCTCTAACTTATACTAGATGCTTTCAAGGCCAAGGGCCAATTGAATGCTGCGCAATATAAGAAGGATGGCTACAGTAAAGAGAACGTACTCATTGCATTTTCTAGTCATCGTGACGAAATCTCGTTCTCGCCAAAGGAGCCCGAGTCGAATGTTAGCATCCACCGTGGCATCGCCAAACCAAGCACGGTGGCGGCGACAATCAGCTATCAGAGCTCGGAGCAGAAAGTTGGCTGGGGATGGCGCAAGGGGAACGACGTTGATCCGAGACAAGGAGCCATAAGTGAGAGCGGCACTACGTATTTGACATACGCCTGGGGAGCCAAGGGGTACTGGAAAAGCAGCACAGAGGGGAGACACCCTAACTCAATCTCGCTAGACTGGGAAGGTGACCGCCATTGGACGATTATGCCAAGGGTGCAAGAAAGAGATGACTTTAAGAAGCTCTGGCAGGCTATAGGAGGAAGATTGACAACTGACCGTCTGCCTGCCGAGCTGGTGGAGCAGAACGTTCCAGCTCCTACGGTGAACCTCCACATGGACTCGCTGGACTATTTCTTGACCACTAATCTCCTTTGCCCGGGCAAGCATACCTTCAAAGCTCATTCCATCGGGACAGATGAGAGCAAAGGGCTTGCTGTCCCCCACGACCTGATTCTGACGGGTGATATCGATACCAGTATTCCCCAGTAAAGTTATTTGGTCCAGTCATCTCATAGCTGCATCAAAAGCGCCAAGTAATGCCGGGGATTTATGGATTGCGATCTCACCGACAGATTTCATGGGTGCTTTTGCGAAGTAGAGAAGATTGTGCTAAATGAAATAGATAGCATGGACTCGATTGTTCTCTAGTTCAAAACGCGGCGCAGTGATCCATATTTCTCCTCCACTGTACAGGAAGTATTAGATCCTAGTGATACCGCTATCCATGAGAGGCTCTTGGTATTTGCTGCATCTTCACCTGGTTTTTAAGCATGTTGAGTGACATGCTGGCCATTATTTCTTGAAAATCCACTGTTAAAAGCTTCTTCTCACTAGTCACAGCTCCGCCCGTATGCCCGACGCCTCTATCATGACTGAACCCATGCTCTATTAACATGTTCTACGACCTGAGCTTATAAAGGGATTGAAGAAGTATATAGAATACAATGCAATCAGCTGCTCTAATAGTTTCAAGTCTATCATGGAACGTCCTGTATAAAAGGAGGAGTAATAGAACATTCATCTGCATATAACCAATAGTGTATAGATTACGAATATTCATAGTCTTGGTACCCTCACAGTATTTAAAATATTATTATGTGTATTAAACTATCAGAATCCATCATTATTTGTATCGAGAGCTAGCATTAGCCGACGCACTAGTAATTATCCCACGCATCAGTGGAGGCCAATAGGAGGAAATCGCTATTTGTCGGTTTATATGGCCCCTCATTGCCCTCCCTTCGTTCATCTACCGGTTTGTGCTTCTTGTTGTCCTTGGCATGTCCACCTGTTCCAGTCCTATTCTGGTCGACTTGGCCACTCGGATCAGCCAAGCCACTGAGCAAGTGAATGCTTTCCTGGTGGCGAATGACTATCCCCAGCCCTCGTTCGACCGCGATGCACCTGCTGTATTCCCGGAAGCGCCCGCAGGTATCCAGGCCGCCTGACAGCAGATCCTAGATGCCTGCCAGACGATGTGCGGTGCGCTGGTAGGACCAGCTGAGCATCTCCGCTGGCTGGCGTGTAGAGTATGTCTAGCCGGGGTATTGAAAGGGAAAATTAAAGAGATGAAAGAACGAAAATTATTAACAGAATGCAAAAGTGCCACGACATGTCCAGCCTCCGGTGGCTCTACCCCTTCAACATTGCGCCAGCTATCCCACTGTACCGGGCCGTCTCGTATAGCGAAGTGGCCGCCACAGCCCAGGCAGACGAGAACAGATTGAAGAGCGTCCTACGGCTGGCCATGACGAACGGGCTCTTCTGTGAACCGCGTCCGGGATTTGTGGCCCACAATGCTGCTTCAGCCCTCGTCACCTCGCCCACTCTCAACGACTGAGTCGGGTACACGACCGAGGAACCCTATCCCGCCTCAGTCAAGTTAGTCGAAGCCACCGAGCGCTACGGTTCCAGCCAGCTCGCTAACCACGCTACCTGTAACCTGGCCTTCGATACCGATGAGCTAATGTTTGTGCAACTCCAGCGCTTCCCGGGGCGAGAGCGCCGATTCTCCAATACCGAGATGACCTCAACCGAAGAGTATAGCATGCATCATCTAGTAGATAAGTACCCGTAGGGGGAAGCTCAGGGGACGGTGGTGGATGTGAGTTGCTCTCCCTCCCCTCCCTAACTTTCCTCGTCATCGTCATTTTCATACCTGTGTATGTATCAATGAGCACTAGATCGGTAGCTCAACGGGCCATGCGAGCATCGCCATCAGTCGCAAATCCCTAGCGGCCCAGTTCGTGGTCCAGGACTTGAAAAATACAGACTTATTTCAGACAATTTAACAAACATATACTAGAAAAGGAAGGATATAAATCAAGTCAGAGATTCTATGCCCCCCATTGATTCCTTTCATTAATGACTGTGAAGGGAAGTTTCGCAAAGAGATAAAAGGCCTTCCGTTGTCCGTTCAATCTTACTGCCCCAAGGGCAAAGAAGACAAAATAAATAAAACAAGGCCATCTTATCTCTCCTCCATGTGATTCCTATGGACTTCATCTGAAGCGGCGAATCCCCTCATCAAATATCTGGTTATACATCTTCCGGCCATTATCGAGATTTTTCACTTCTCAGGCACATTATAAATCTACTGGCCATCTACAAACAAAGCGAATCGACCTCAACAGCTGCTGGGCTCCAAAAAGACTGTCATTTGGCAGTCGAGAGAAACGTGGAAGTAGAGTTATAGACGAAACCGCAAGAAGCGAGCGTACCAATTACACGCAAAGACCGCATAGGCCTAGTCTCTGGTTTTCAACCGTCAAAAACGCTGTTTTTAGGGCAAAGTATGGATACCGTATCACCCTTGTCAATAGACTTGCAAGAATCAACTGTGACACATCCTCAAAAAGTGGATACGGATTCTCTAACATATTCAAGCCCTAGGTTCCGCCCTCTGTTTACGTATTATATTCACCACTGAGTCTCTGTCGTTTGTCGGCTCATGATCTCCTTCGTAACAAATATACCTTTCCGGTCTGAGCTAAGGGATATGTAATAGGGACAAGGGGTGTGCTTTAGAGAATGCTTGAGCGAACGAAGATAAAAGAAACAGAAGAACAGAGCTCAGCTAATGTAATGTAGTACAGTGAATGGTGTTATTCCATCCAACCTGTTGCTTGTGTTGCTATCATTCAATACAATTTACTTGACAAGCATAGTAGGTACACGCTAAATACACTCAACCTTATGGTCCCATTGCTGTTTCTCCGTCTCCGCAAGCCCTACTGAAAGATCATTACAGATATAGATAATCCATAAAGATAGTCAATAGATGTCATTTTTCACGCTATGGGTCGTCTATACAGTGCCATCCTATCGAAGCAGAAGTCCAAAGACCTCGGTGCCTCATCCGTGTGATCGGTAATTCCATTGAGTAATAAAAGTCTCTACTATGAAATCCACCATTCAAAAGTACCTCAAGTGTCCCCCGAACCGTAATTTGTACCCGGGCCGCTGCAGAACTGGGTGTACAATTGCCCACAGTTAGGTGTCCAGGTAGGAGCTGCAGGGTTGCCCTCGGTAAAGGTGGCGGCAGAGAGGTCCAGGCTGTCTGGCGCCCAGAGCCAGGGCGGAGGATGTATTGTCGTGTAGCTACCAGAGAATCAGAGATGCCCGTCTCACTGAGGGGATTCGGATCGTCTGCTATAATGATAGGAGGTAAGAGGCGGGATAAATGTTTCCACGAGATGTGTGGCACTTGAAGCAGAAATATTTCAATTGTAGTAGGTGATTTCCGTAGTTGTGGTCTGAATATGAGGCATAGTCGGTCGTCCGCGATAAGCGTGTAAATACTTCCCCAAGTAACAGCAGCATCAATGAATGGTTAGCAGGACAATAATTAGAAAAGCCCCCAGTGCGCTTGGCACAGCCCGAATCCCCTGAAGACCCATGCTGTCACCAGTCTGCACGGTCTGCGTTACTGTTTCCGTTTCTCTTTGCGTAGCTGTACTAGTAGGTACGTCGGTAGTCACTATTTGCAGCTTGTCAGTTCTCTGGGTACCTAAATTCAAGAAAAGCCATAGGGCACACGTACAGGCGTACGACTGGCGGTACCAGGTCCCAGGATAGGCATATGTGGAAGATGGGCACATGACTATATCCCGCTTGTCGCTTAAGGGACTGCCTGATGAGGGCAAAATGGTGTATACTTCACAGTAGTGGCCTGGGTCACTATAATGAGGATCAGACTTGGCGTTCTTTACTATCTCCTAGGTCCTGGGAGCCCTTCTTCATGCTACCTACCAGTGGGCTTCTCCTTGGTAATACTGGATTCGTCCATCAGGTGCGCAAGCCGTGGCATAATTGCATGTAGAGTCAGCAGTAGCGCAGCATTGGCCGTACGTTGACCAGGTCACGTAGCTGAGCCCGAATCGCATGTTTGAGGACTCCCTGCGATCATTTTTTATTACGTCTGACCAGACTAATTATGCGTGGATTATCAGGTAGACCAACAAGTGTCCGAGTATGCCCACCATGCCACGAAGTCGCTCCCCACTTGCCTTTTATCCAACTCGTTGATACGGGCTGGGTTCATAGGCGCACCAGTGACAAGGGGGTCGAATGCTCTATCCACATCAGTGCTTGTTGGTGCCGAGGCCAGGAGATGACCACCCTGGATTGGTCGAATGAACAGGGTCGCGCATGCAATCTGTGATAGAATTGCGAACTGCATGCTGAACGGCTAGTACTAGAAATAGTAAACTTGAAAATTTCGGGGAGAGAGCAGGTAGAGAACTCAGCAGAGCATCAATAGCTTAGTTTAAAAGACAAAGCTTTAAGTAATAAATTAGGGGTACTAAGATTTCCGCTCGGACGAGAAAAAGGTGGGGTTGCTCTGTTACTCCCTCGTATTCAATGGAGCTAAGCGCAACCTGTGTTGGGCAGGTATCGGACTTATTGGACCCTTGGTAGGAGGGCAGTGCCGCACCAAGAGAAGCTAGTCCGTTTACAACAGTTTAAGCCTCCAGATTACCTATCATAGATCCATGATCGCCCAGCCGGTCTGTCCGTAGGTAGCCGTGCTGGTATGCTGCAGGGGCTCTCTCTCCTGTTGTGTCGCCTCACATGTAGTGTGGTTGGAGTACTCTTATGCAGCTGATTTGTCATCAATGATAAAATCCATGATATATGGCGTTCATCGGAATCTTTTCTGATTGGGATATAGGCAAGATCAAATCAAGTGTGAGCGATACTGCAGAGGATTATTGCGTAGAACCATATCCCCGCTGTAGTGAGAGGGATCCAGCTAGGTATGTTTGGTAATCAGTTCAAAAGGGTATGGGTAAGAATTCAGTAAGAACTGTATCGAATTTAGTTTTGAAATTATCTACACGAGCGAGCATCTCGTCAAACCTGTCTTGAAATTATATGGATTGCCTTCGGCAGTCTCGCTAGGTATTGCGTGAGTCGTGACAGAAAGTCTAATTCTTCTGCTAACACAACCCGCTATATCGCACTAGAGAAGTATCTGAAAAGGCTTAACCATTTTCACCACTAGTAGCCTCGTGTGGCGGTGAGGAAGGTCGGATATGTGGAACGCACCCACTCACGTCGAAAAAGACAAGAAAAACAGTTAATGAAGCTGGAGAAATGAAAATTAAAGTTTGGTGGCCAGAACTAAATGAGCCGGAAGATCTTCGCTAAATATCGGGGAGATGCCAGATCATTACCGACCATTTCCAGCTATGTTCCGATAAGAAACGATTTTCTTCCGTGGGATTGAACGTCCATCCCAGCTGCAAACATACCAACTAGGGAGCTCCCTGGCAGTATGGACCAGAGAGAAGCTCCAGTTGGGTGGCTCGCTCAACTTGGGAGGCACAGCTCGGACCCTTGATCTTTGCGACGGCCGTAGTGATATGGGAGAAGGGGTGATGTCCAAAGCCGGATACGCCACCCTCCATGATTCAAAATCCATACTCTTTGATGGAGACTTCGTGGCGTGCCGGAAGCCTGGCGATTGTATTGATGGATATTTGTTTTGCTACGGTCATGACTACAAAGCTGCGATCAAAGCTTCTATTCAATATCCGGCGACCAGCCCATCCTGCCCCGGTATGCTCTAGGCAACTGATAGAGCCGATACTATGCCTATCACCTGGACGAGTATATCCAACTGATGGATGACTTCGTTATATGCATCTTATAACATCCCCGCCATACCGCCACAAATATCCACACTCTCATAGTTCAACCCGTATCCCTTGTTCTCAGGAATGATGCGGAAGTAGAAGTTTGCCGTGTGCCCTGTCTCGACAAACCCTATGAAGTCCGCGATATCATTGCCAAGGGTCATGCCCTGCCATTTCAGACTAATATGTCTAGCCATCGTCAGGGCCTCCTGCTCATTCAGTGGAGCAGTCTTTCTCGTAGTGTAAGCAATTTTGAAGCCAGGCTTATCCCAACGCCTAGTTAAAGTAGAGTTGCCATCCTGCCGACCATCCTCTAGGGCAATCTGCAGGGTATTATCGCCATTACTCCAATAGTTGACCCATATATCGGTCGCATCGTTTCCTAGATCGGCATGATACAAGCCGCGGATACGGAATCTCTCAACTAGATATGGCTCATCCGAGGACCGCTTCTCGACGCGGGGCAGATTGTCATCCGCCTCGATGCTGGCGAATTGTAAGCTGCTTTCCTTTAGAGCATTTGTGACGATATTCATGAAGCTTCTTGCATTTATCCTGCGAACTGGCTCACCGGGAGGAACTGCTGGCTCTGCGCCATCTTTGCCAGAGATTACGAAGAGGAGCGCAAGGGCGTATCTGATTCCCTGAGCCCAGTCATCGCACGTGGGATTGCCATGTGTTACGGCGCGGCAAATGTATTTGGCGACTTCGGGGCCGAAGGTAACAAAGGCAAGCCTATTGAAGTTAATCGTCTGAGGCAAATGGTGCGCGTCGGCGGGCTGGGGTTTGCACGTACTGGACTTTAACCGATGATATCCTGGAAATAAAAGCATTCACACGGCTGCAGTTGAGTGCTCTTTGTTGGAGGTTCGCAGAGCAAGCCCGGATGGGTTGGGACTAGCCACTTCCAGCTCACGCGTGAACTGCTCCATGGCTGTGGGATGAGCATTGATTGCGTCTGCACCGGCCAGAAGCAGTAGAAGGGACGACAGGAACTTCATCTGCAGTTGGTACTCCTGAGAGACAGCAGGAGGAGCTGGCAAGACATGTTCGAGCAGAGGAAAGTAATAGATAAGGAACCTGAAGTTGTGTTCAGCTCGTAGCCAGTTGCTAGATTAAAAGAAGAGGAGAGAATGGTTTGCTACCTCGCTGGTGTCCAAACGAAGATGTTTAGCAGGCAATGACCGATGGTTGAGAGAAGGGAGGTGTTGTCGCCCTTGATAAACGAATCATGTTCCAGCATCGACGGCAAACAGATGGGTGACGCTGGTTCACTATCAGACCGATGATCCTTAACGAGTAACTTCTCACTCTCTAATGTTGGGGTCTCCATCACTTTGCGTGACTATGCCAATGTTTCAACCCACACAAGAAGATATTAAGTGCATTATCCAGGCCCTGGGGGGTTTCTGATTATAATCTCCCAATATCTATGAACCTGCTACGCTAATGGTGGGGATGCTCCACCACACTAACCGGGGGGAAGGGCGGAAATCCGCCGAGGTTACGTAAATGTACCACTAACATCAGCTTATTACTGTTAGAATACTTGTATTGTGCGGTCATTGTATACCTTGTGATAGGCATCCAAAGAGTATGATGATTGAGAGGAGGCCTCGAGGCATGATTGGGCCAACCCAACGAGGATTTTGTATCACCAAACAGCCCAAGGCCAAGGGCAAAGAAACGCCGACTATAATATAAAGTCGGGGGCAGAGAGAAGTGACTTGGATCTACTCAAGGTTAAGAACCCCGTTCGATCTGTATCAATCTGTTCATAACTTAGGGATAGTAACAAGTTTTGATCTCCTGCCTTGGCCGCGAGCCTTGGTTGAGCTTATCTGAGAACCAAAGTAACTACAAGTCTCCGTAGAGAATGTTGGTGATTTACTAACTAATCATCTACTCAAAAATAAAACCTCGAACTAGTGACATATCCACTTAGCTTCTCCACGTTACATCGACAATTATCGGAAGCTGGTGCGTTGTAAATAGGAAGTAGTAATATATTACATTTTACCGAGATTGACCCGGGCCGAGCCGAGCTCCACACTGTTGGTTAAAGGGGATCAATAACAAATATCTTTAGTGTTTTGTGGATTCGCCTCGAAAATAGTAAATATTGCTTCTCTCTTCCTCACAACCTCCCACAAGGAGGATAGCTTCGCAAGCTTGTCGTGTAGCTTGAAAACCCATGGCGGGTTAGTATACTATGTGGGTGGAGACGATGCAAGATTGGATACTCCAGTGCATAATGATGCAGACTCTCTCCCATACCGCATTACGGAGAGACATAAATGTAGAATGTGCTGTCTACCTTGCTGTCTCTCCTCTAGGCATACGCCATAGACTTTAGAAGTTCTTATTTTCTCCTAAAGATGGAAATTGTGTACGGACGGGAAGGTTTCTTCACTGAATATCACATTCAAATTCCGTCGTAGGTCTGCACAGAAGCCTGGTTGTGCTAAGCCATTGCGGAGGAGCAATAAACTAACTATTCTTTGCGAAATTTGTAAACTATAACCACTGCTTAGAATAGATACTTCGAGTTAACAGCCAGACTTGGGCATGTAGATCGAATAAAAAAAACCCCGCATATTTCCTCCGTTCCTCAATGATTTCGACTGGCGAACGGAACAAGGCTAAGCTCTCAAGAATGGCCGTGATTACATCAGTACTGTACGATATAAATCTGTGTTAAGGGTTAGACAGGGTTGTCTCTCAGTATGGTGAAGTACTAGCAGAACAGGCTGAAACCGTTGTGAGTATCACGTTAGCTGCCGCCGTTGTAGGGGATGCTGGCTGCATAGTGCTGGCTGGGCCCAGGATAGCCGTCGGGAAGACCATGGTTTTGGCCAACGATATAATAGATGTCACAGTAAAGGCGAGTGGGCGGGAAAGGTCACCATCAGTGAGCAACTGGATAATGAATACATACCATGCCAGGGTCCATTGATCTCCTTTGCCCCATTTAGAAAATGGAGAGAACAATTTTAGTGCCCAGGCAAAGGCAAGACCCACTACCCCCAGCCATACAGCAAAGCACGAGAAGAGAAATGTAAGCGAAGCATAGACAATGTTAACGTCCCAGTGGTCACAGTGGCCCCAAGGGAGAAAGCTGTGGGCGGCGCAATCGATAAATTTATACAGACAGTTACACTTGGGCGACGTGCTTGGGATGACTAGCTCAATCCAAGTGTTTCCACTTTGTCTCTCATCTTCTTCTCCTGGAGGTACAGGGCTATATCGGCACCAAGCGATGACACCGTTATAGCGAAGCAAGACATCAAAAGGTCTCTGCGCCCAATACGTATGCTGCGGTTCGACGTATTTGCCATGGAGATATCGTGAGGTACGTTCGATTTCCCTCGAGCATTCGCTCACCTTGTTAAAGAACTCCCTCTGCACCTCAGATTGCTTCTCAATACGAGAATGAAGAAGAAGAGGAACAAGTAAGATCAAAAAGCCGCAAGCCCATGTTCTGGATTTGGTCATGAGCCCTAAAATCGATAAAGTTAGGAGAAAGACAAGACGGGCTGTTGCTTTGAACTTTAGGTCTTGAAGTGGTGGAACCTGGGCTTTCTTGGAATTATGAATTTCCATAATATACGGTCCATATACCAAGAGTAACCTGTCCGATGTACGCATGAGATCGTTGAGCCTGTTCTGTTCTTCCTGATCATCTGAAAATAAGTGATGGACTCGTGGATATTGAATGTCAGGAAACCTTTCAGGGATACTACCCTGTACTCCTCCCGCTTCCAAATTTTCCTGGCTGCTGGCAGGCGCAAATTTAAACATGTACTTCCACTCCAGCACAGTTGCTACCCTTGCAAGTGCTAGCCATCCTCTCAGCCACAATCCGGTCTTATTCCAAACTCGGTTGAAGCTGTTGGACACTGGTCCGTCGTCCGTTGGGGTTTTGTCATATCTACTGGGCCACCTGTTGCCCATGTCTCCATAGGTATTGCATTGTCATCGGAGTGCCCATTCCCAGACGAATTATCTGCGCCATTGTGAACAACCCCTGACTGAGGCGCTTCCTGGTGGCTCATAAGAGCGCGGATTCTATCACAAAATAACTGAAGCAGGCTTCCAATTCCATATATCGCGTCGAGGTAGCTCATCTCCAGCCATAGCAGTGAGGCGCTTGGAGACCCCTGCAGGATCCCGTCTTCAGAGAAGTGGGCTTCAAAATCTATCCGAGGCGCCGAAGTCCGCAGCCGGTGGTCAGTATAGCACACAACCCAGGATACGTCGAAAATGCTGAACCATTCGCCGATCCCGATGAGAACTGGGAGAAATCCGGTATTTGGATGGTCCATCCGTTGTTGCACCATCCCACCTCGTACGACTGCCACCATAAACCCCCCAATTATAGCTAGACATGTGGAAAGGCTAATATTCTGATCGCTCGTTGGAGCCCCCTGAGCTGCGGAAATTGACCCTGGTTTCTGTACATCCTTCTCAGAACCTGGCTTGAGGTACAAAGATGCTAAAGGAAGAGCAAAATAATAACTAACCGAGCCATTCTGCCCTTGGGTAGTAGCGGTATTCATAGCTGAGTGTTGCCGGGGCTTGATTCTAATAAGAAGCCTCACTCCGACGTAGCGAACCCCATTTGACGAGTATTTTGAGCTCTGGAACCTACTGCGACACCAAGGTCCCACGCAATTCCAGAAATGTTCACGATGGTAATGGGGTTCTAAGATAGTATGCACAAAGATGATAGCTAATCGTTATATGGCAACGCTGAAAATGACAATGGTCATGGCCAGGTGACACTATAAAAGGTGCAGCGGTGAATCGTGAATCGTGATATCATCTAGGAAATGGCCCGCGTTCTCGACCCAGCAAGACCTGTCGGGCTCGTAACTTTATATTTAAGTACAATACAGCACATGTTTGTGCAAGAGTTCTGGTTTCCTACTATTACCATTACAGCTTAATATGATTCCTACTAGGGCTGCATAAACAATGGAGGAATACAATAAATGTTACACCAGTTGATGGAATGCCCCAAGCTGTTACTACTGCCTTGTACTGTCCTAAGTGGGAATATTGAAAGATACGAAATGAAGAACTTCGACAACTGCAAGAGGAGGATTGTGACCAAGGAGGACAAGCGCTCTGACAAAGGATCTTCAGATCGAACACTCTGAAAATCACACTAATTTCGCAAGTCATTCCTGCGTTGGGCTCTCAGCTACATAGTGTAAAAATGCCATATGATCAACCGAGGGCAGAGCGACTATTCTTAGCGACAGTATCTGGGGGGTGCAGATAAACGCAGACTCATAAAATAAGCCTAGTCAGCATATGTTCTAGACTATCTACCAGTTGACAGGAGAGCTAAAAAAAATACAAGGGATACGGCTGCGACTACAATACGAAGTAGGTCCCAGGATACTGTAATAACCCTGGAAATAACCCCGCAGGCCGCTTAGCTAAGGTATAGTCCCCATTAAAAGTTAAAAGTCTATACTCGTAACATGAATGAGGGCAAGCCAAAGCTCTTACAGCCGGGATTCGAATCTATAGCTTCTATGACTACATCTTACAGGTGCCTAGTTGGTAACGTATCTAATATAGAGAATACCCGAGAGATACCTCTCGCTGGCCCTAGAACAGACAAAGTAGTCTACTGGAAGGCCAAAGGTACTGGGTGCCTTACAAAGCCCCAAAACCAATTCTACTTGGGTGATATTGACTATTGCATGACCAGAATAATACCGAACTCCCCCGGCCAGTGTTCCTATGGCAACCTACGCGTCTGTTGTACTGGACCTTGCAATACCCATAGGATTACCCAAATAGAAGCATGATTGATTATTAGCATTGATCCCAGGAGGTCATAACATATGTTTTGGGCCTTGACATACTTGATGTCGTGCTTCATGTGCCGGCTGAATTAATCAACTGAAAATTTCATAACTGTGTCCAACGGAGAACGAGGTATTTTCGTACACTGATGTCATAGCCTAGTTTATGAAGTATTCGATAAGAACGTCTGAACTGGTCGCCAAAGGTGATGGCCTGCTGGCCGATGATTCTCAAGTCTCCCTACTCCTCTAAGAGGCTCATACAACGATTCGAATACAACGGATTTAGTGGGTGCAGCTCTGTTGAATGTGGTGGCAGAGGATGCACGGTGGAACTGGTCGGGACGAAATGGTTGTAAAAGAGACTGCCGTCAGAGAAGACAGGAAAGTGCAGAAGGCGGCGGTCGTTTCAACAAGGTACGATACATGACCAATGTCGAATTTGGAAAGTTGAACGAAATGGCTCATTTGCTGCCACTGGGATCTGTCTAGCTGCAGTGGCTATAATTCCTTGCGGCCGGATGCAATAAGCAAGTACCCAGCTGCACGTAGGAGTTGTTGAACGTCGAACTGAAGGGATCCGCGTTGGCTGTTTATGTGCCCATGAGTCGTGACGGTTAATAGCTTCTCTAGAGATAATATGCCGCAGTGGGCTGCGTCCATGGGCGGCCACGCGGTGATCAATGTACTGTATGGGAATGCGAGACAAGGAACGATGCCACTATTTATTTACACATCGGGGGTGAAAGGAGATTTAAAGATTGTAATTCCGCTATGTATAAAGAGAAAACTATAGGCAGGATCTACCGCATTGACACAAAATACTATGGAATAACTCTGAAAGACAGGGATTTCAGCTACTAAAAGCAGTAGGTCCTTGGCAATATACAATTAGTCTACAACAGGACCAATACCTATTGTTATCTGCATCACTTGATTCTCGACCTCGGGTTGGGTATTAATCTCTAGAAGAATAATACTACTTTTAGCCCTGGAAAGAAGCTTCGTTGTATCTATACTAGAATAGCCCACAGCGATATTTGACATGTGTCGCTCGTGCATATCTCGACATACCATCGCAAAGCTAGTGCGTCCTAGAAAGATCTAGACTAAATCACCTTTCAGTCGAAACTTTCTAATTGGCCTTAGAGCGGCTGAGGTCATTCTCCGTCTAGCACCTTGAATCAACTAGTTCCTCGCCGTGCTCGTCAGGCCAAATGATAGATACGGCCGGTACAGTGAGGAAAGTGTAGACAAGTCTATTCAATAGGAGAATTACGCTAGATGACCCTATGAATATAAACAAGTCATTCCAGGTCGTGAGCCACCATGACCGCATAGCCTTATACCCTAGCCCAAACAGACCAAACCCTCTGCTGAGCACGAAGAAACAATCTTGGTCGTTTATGTACAATGGCCAAGTACACATACTGCCTTATGAACCCCATACCCCCAAACAGCCTAGTCGACCTTGTGTCGGCTCAAGTGTTATCAGGCCAGCTAGAGGACCGATCAGTTATGAAACCATCTAACCTTTGTGGAATACTTACGTTGGAAATACACTCTCCGCGGGGTCTGTGCCGAGAAATACAAACACTCGGCCTCGATCCGGTATTCATATTCGCTTCTCCGAAAATATTTCCAATTCTGACATCTACCTGCTTGTGATGCCCCTCCACTGGGTCTTTCAGCTATCTCTCATAATGAACCAACAAGAAAGAAAAACACTTAGACCAAACAACTAATGCCGAAGACTATACGTACCCTTTTTGACCGACAAGACTTCCCGGCGGTGCATTATACCAACCAATACATTGGTCCACGGGTATTTGTGTCCATCGTCTCTTGGTACTACCCGGTCCACCATAGGTGCAGTAACCTACTATGAATTGTCCCTGGCGCCGATAAATCTCATATGGGGCAACCTGGTACTTGTAGCTTCCGATGTACAGCTGTTGACAACTGGTATGGACCGCTTGGGTCGCCAAATCGTTGGCGTCTGGTTTAAACTCAAATCCTGTAACCAAGGCCACTAGATATAGGCAAAGAATCATTGATATGTGATACATTTGTACTGAGCAAAGCGCCAAATACCACTTGTCAAGACAGTAGGATAAGATGATCGACCCAGCATTCCTTCCAGGGCCTGAATTTATAACTTCCAGTTCAGAATATCGCTCTGGTGAAAAATAATTTAACGTTTGTTTCTCTTCTTTTGTCTTTTCTTGTGTTCCTTTTTCTTGTTTCTTCCCTTCTTTCTTTTCTTCTGGGGCACTGGGCAAACGGCGAGCAGTATCCCGTAAACACTAAATACCAGGTTCTACCAGAAGGATTCACTCTGGTGCCGGTTATACACAGTAGAGCATTGAAAATAGAACAAAAGGGGTGGGTCTACACATCTTCCTGCGATTTCTATTGACGCAATACCTGAAAGTGGTTTCTCTGAGCCGGAAAATTTATCCACTAAATATACACTTAATACGCCCTAGATACCTAGCCATTCCTACTGGGGACACTACATAACCTGCTAAGAAACGTTACTTTGGTACCAACCTTCGTATTTGGGCGTGGTGGGCTCCAGAGGAAAGTACACAATATATATGGATGTCACCATTATGTAGAACCATCCGAGAGCCATATAACCCTTTCAATACCTGCATCCCCCAAAAAAATAAAAAATAAAAAGAAAAACAGCCTATCTCTGCAACAGAGCTCCGCTGCCCCATCAGCTCGGTTCTTGAGCTAGAACGTTTAATTTCTGTGGTTTCATATTGGGTAAAGACGAGTACCATCGTGTCAAAAGTAGGTCTATGGAACTTTCAATGTGTGTTACACCAATGACACCTGGTGCAATGGCTTCGGATTACGCCGGTATTAAACATAAGAAAATAAGCATAAGGATAAAAATCGTGAAAGATGCTGGGAAGAATGAAAGCAAAGAGTTCAAAGATTGCAAACTATGTATACTCAGAGAAAGCCCTTCTGAATATCCTAACAGCTTCGAGTGTTGTAAAAACGAAGCCGTACCAGGCGAACAAACGTCGGGAATGGCGGGACTAAGACCTAATCAACCTTCGCCTGGGCTGATATATCTACGCAATGTCTGCTACCTCTCTGCTGTACTTTACTCTGAATGTCAATTGTGGGGAACAATTACTCCCCTGATGGCGAGCAAAGATAGCAAGTGGTCCGTAGTCTCCGTCCGCTTATAAGCTGCCTAAGAGGACCTCACTGCACATGGACAACGGATGCAAGGATACTTGCTATGCCTGCCGCCCTTGTTCTACGCAGCATCAAATCTACTTCAGTTACGATTTATCAGGCTTACAAATCAGTTTATTAAGTGATATGTACTCACACCAGCTAAGCAGTCAACTCGCAAGCAGCCTCAATTCCCGGAAACCTATCCCTAATCAAGCCGAACTTCTCAATAAGGATATCCTTCGACACCTGCTGGAAATTATGAAACGAAAACACCACACCCTTCATAAATACGATATCCCCGATACGACTAGTCGTGACCTCCAGCGACGTCTGTGGAAGATGGATAACTACATCCGCGATGGTATTAATGATCTCCACCAACTTGGTGAGGATCGATGACCCGTGCACGCGGATCGTATTTTGCGAGATCTTAGTCAGGAATTGTCTCAGCTGGCTGGAGAGTCGGAGCGGGAGTTCAAGGGACAGAGACGGACAGAGAGGACGGGAGGACAAAAGGCAGTTGGACATGGCCATCTGCCAGAGAAGAGTACGCATCCATTGTCTGGTGATGACGAGATCGGCTTGCTGCGTCTCGGATAACATCGACACTTCGAGCTCCCAGCGGGCATCGTCCAGCTCGCGGTGCTTTTGCTCGACCCATTTCGCAGAGACTTGGCTTCTATCACCAATCCAGAGGTTGATGAAGGTTGGCTCGAGGATAAGGAAGGTCTTGATGACTTGAGTCCAGCCCTGGGAGATTCCGGGGGGTAGGTTGGGGTCAGCCTCAGGGAAGGAGTCGTGGGGGGACAGAGTGGCGGGAGAGAAGTGAACGATCGAAATGAATCGTTCGTGGATAAAGCATAACCAGTACAGACGTTGCCGTCGGGCTCGTTCGGTAGGATGGAGACTTCCGAGAACGGTCTTGTCCTCAATCCGTAGCAGGTGGATCATGGCGATGGCTTCACGCAAATATACAAAGCCTAGGTCGTACTGGCCGAGGCTCATGAAGCACATCTGGATAAAGATGTTCGTCATTGTGCGCAGGATGGACGGCCGGAATCCAAGAAACATTGGCGGCTGGATTTCGATGGCTTGGTTGACGAGCTGGGTGACCTGCGTCGAGGCGCTGGACGTGGGGCGATTGGATTGTGTCAGGTCAATAGTCGCCGCGGCAAATGCGTATACAAATGCCGCGTTCTCTCGGTCAGAGTCCATTTTGCCGATTGCATCCTGCACCTCGTCGGCGGTCATGATGGGATTGAATGGGTATACGAAACGCATGTATTCCGAGACCAGGCTTTCAAAGTACGAGGCTGAAACTGATGATAACGCAGGAGCGAGAAGTGAGTTTGGCGATGACTCCGTTTTATGTTTCGAGATAATCTCTCCTCGACGCAGTGAATGCTTTCTTGATCGCGCAAGCCGATTATCGGTGTATGTGCAAACTAGGCCCAAGTGCTCGCATTGCTGGCATCGTTGCTGACCATTACAGCGGACTTTCCTTCGCCCGCATGCGTCACATGCCTTGTGCACTCGGGGTCGACGGTAGTCCTCCATGGTCGTACGGTGGTAAATGCATGGGTCTAGCGCGCGATGTCGGTAGGAAGAGACATCGTCGGCCCCGCCTGTCTTACCCCAGGTTTTATATTGAATCCGTGCCTTGGCGCCTTGGCACGTGCCTGACGCTCGGATCTTTTACCGAGAATATTTTTGATTTGTTTTTACATTCCAAGAGAAGAAACAAAACCATGCATTCAGTCTAAGGCCTCTACCAAAATCATTATCTCTATCAACTAAAATAACAGCACACGTCCCTCAAACGGCTGCAACTCGTTCAGATCCCCTTCAACATTACGCAGCAACACCTTCGGATCTTGCACAGCAGCGGGTTTCTCGAATTTCAGTGTCTCTTCGGAGAAGTTCAATACTACCAAAACTGACTGATCCGGCCCTCGCTTGATATATGTGAACACCTTCTCGTTTTGCTCGTCCAGGATCTCAAATTCCCCAAAGACCATGAGGTCGGCGTATTCTTTACGCAGCTGAATCACCCGTTTCCAGAATGACAAGACAGAGGACTGATCGTTCTCCTCCACCTCCACGTTTATCTCGGGGTAGTTATCGTGGACACGCATCCATGTCTTTGCCGATGAGGAAGAGAAACCACCGTTAGCCTCCGGGCTCCACTGCATAGGAAGCCGGGCGTGGTCTCTCGCAAAGCGCTGGAGTGACTTCATAGCAGTTTCCAGCTCCACCGGGTCATCCTTTGAAACATTCTGCACCATTTGGTAGTAGTTTGTGCTGTCGACGTCTTTATATTCCTCGATGGTCCAGCTCTCCGGCGCATTGACCATGCCAATTTCCTGGCCTTGATAGATGAATTGTGTGCCTGACAATGTGCCCTGCATCATCGCAAGCATCTTCGCCGATGTGACTCTCAATTCTGGGGTCTTCTCGGAGCCAAACCGAGAGATGGACCGACCCTGGTCGTGATTCTCCATGAACACTGTGGACCACCCATCTGTCCCCTTCATGATAACTTGAGTACCCTTGACAGCGGCCTTGAGCTCCGGCAGGGTCCAGCCCGGCAGCGTAGTCAAGAACTTATAGTCCTTCCCTTGTCCGAGGTCTACGATATCGAACTGAAAGACCATGTTGAGCTGGTTCTGCGCGGCGGACACATACCGCAGAATGCCATCGACCGTGTGCGTGTTTGGCAGCTCTCCCACCGTCATAGCGTCATACTTGGCAAGTACCTCATTCATCTCAGTGAGGTATTCGTGAATACGAGGTCCATTGCAGAACAAAGCGGGCGATATCTGTGTCTCAGACTTGGGATCCACGACCGGCGCGTCTGGGTACTCTGGGTGCTTGCTGTACATGTTCACTGTATCCACACGGAATCCATCGACACCCTTCTGCAGCCAGAACTCCATGGCCGAGTCATACACGGCACGGCGGGTCTCTGCATTCTCCCAGTTGAGGTCTGGCTGTTCCGTGCAAAACAAATGAAGATAATATTCTTGGGTTTGCTCGTCCCATTCCCAAGCACTCCCGCCGAAGATACTGCGCCAGTTGTTTGGGGGCTTGCGGGCTCCACTGGCATCGTATTTTGGAGGCTTCCAAATGTACCAGTCTCGCTTGGGGTTTGATTTGGACGACCGTGATTCCTTGAACCACTTGTGTTCGTGCGAGGTGTGATTGACGACCAGGTCCAGAATAATGCGCAGGCCGCGACGGTGGCACTCTTCGATGAGAACCTCCATGTCCTGGACTGTGCCGTATGGTGGGTAGACACTCTCATAGTCGGCGACATCATACCCCATGTCATACTGCGGGCTGTCATACATGGGTGAGATCCAGATCACGTCAACCCCAAGGCTGGTGATGTAGTCGAGAGAGGAGATGATGCCGGGGATGTCGCCAATTCCGTCATTGTTGGAGTCTTTGAAACTGGCCGGGTAGATTTGGTAGATGATGGCGTTCTTCCACCATTTTTCGCCGACTGGGGCTGGAGACATAATCAAGGGGTATAAGGTGTAGGGTAGAGGAGATGAAGAGAAGATGGGGGAGAGAAATGTTTTCTGGCTCAACAACTTGGTCGGAAGGAAAGATATATAGCTGCCTTGGTGAGCAGTGCGATCATGGACCTCTCACACCATGAGATAACAACTGGCATGCACGATGTTGATCTATAGGATCAATACTGTTAATTGGCGCAATGTCGGCCCGAGCTGATATCTCTCCTGCATACTCAAGTGGCCCATGCGGTGTCCACCCGACTCCAGCTTCAACCCCACAACACCTTTCCCCCGCTTGACCGTTGACAGGATCGTTCCCACTGTTCCATTTTCCCATGGGGATCCTGGTTATATGATGCACATGTGCATAATACATATAGCTCACCTCGTATCAGCCAATATGGCCAGGGGGCCCGACTAAACTGGCTGCGGTTAGGGTTCTCCGCTTTAATATGTGCCGCGGCCCGACCTTGAGCCAATAGAAAGTCCAGGGCTGGAGTCTGGGCACGATAAAATTGGCTCTAGGTCAAGCGTCTTGGCCCACTCGATGCCCCTGTTTCACTACCACTATCTAATCGCATCTCGGGATAACTGAGCATTTGCCCTTGACACTAGTTGGTGTGGGCAAAAAGTGCACCTGAGTGCTAGCGTGTGCATCACTTCGTGTGAGTATGACATGCATGGACTAATTCGACCTCACTCTCCTTAAGGATGGTTGTGAGTGGATTGGAAAACAACGTTTGCTTGTGAACAGAAGTCAATTCTTCCATTGCCTTCGAATTTTTTCCGGCCCGACATTCGACCAATCACATCCGTTTCTTTGGCCGTCAAAAATCCGGGGGGTTCCACCAGAGAGAATCTGGGGAAAACCTTCGCCCTCGCACTGCACCTGCAGACTGGTGGAGATTCAACCAGACAATCATGCGGACTAGGGCAATCTTAATGCTCGTATAGTCCAGGTTAGGTGCATAGATCGTGCCATTGATTGTGGTCTGAGTCCTGTGTCGGAAGCTTCTATAAAGGCCCTGTATGTGCCTTCACTTCCCACACAATCATCCACTTCATTCGCAACAGCCCCGACGTGGCCTGCGGCATACCTGACCCAAAATGACTCCAGAAAAGGCCGCCATGTCTGAACACATTGAGAACGACAACCCACCGAGCCATGATGACCTCGACCTCCCCAACAGCACGGAGGCACAGGCAGCCATTGCGAAAGAACATGACATGACTCTATGGGAAGCGCTTCGGCTTTACCCCAAGGCCGTGGGGTGGTCTCTTCTGTTTTCCTGTGCCATCATCATGGAAGGCTATGATGTCGTCCTCATCGGCTCTTTCCTCGCATTTCCTGCATTCAACGAAAAATACGGAGGTCTCATGTCTGATGGGAACTACGGGCTCGAGGCTAAGTGGCAAGCAGGTGTAAACAACGCCATGGCCTGCGGTCAGATTATCGGATTGTTCCTCAACGGTCTTGTCTCAGAGCGCTTTGGATATCGAAAGACCCTGATGGCTTGTCTTGCTGCCACTGTTGGTTTTGTTTTCATTCTGTTCTTTGCGCCCAATATCCAAACGCTGGTGGTCGGCGAGCTTTTTATGGGCATCCCGCTTGGTGTATATCAAACCCTTGTCGTGACATACGCATCGGAAGTGTGTCCTATTGCGCTGCGTGCATACCTCACCACATATGTTAACCTCTGCTGGGTGCTCGGCCAATTGCTCGCCTCGGGCGTGTTGAAGGGTCTCGCCAATCGCACCGATCAATGGGCATACCGTATTCCCTTCGCCCTGCAATGGATCTGGCCCATCCCCATTTTCATTGGGGTGTTTCTAGCCCCCGAGAGCCCCTGGTGGCTCGTTCGAAAAGACCGCCGCGAAGACGCCGTCAAGGCTGTGAAACGACTGACCAGCGGTAGCGCTGATTTCAACGCCGAAGAAACCGTATCGATGATCGTGTACACCGACGCACTCGAGCGACGCGCTGAGACCGGTACCTCCTACCTTGACTGCTTCAAGAAGACCGACTTACGCCGAACCGAAATCGCCTGCTGCGCGTGGGCGGCGCAGAGTCTGTGCGGCGCAGGCCTGATGGGCTATTCCACCGTCTTCTACCAGCGCGCGGGTCTCGCCGTGTCGCAGTCCTTCACCATGTCGCTCGTGCAGTACGCTCTGGGCGTAGTGGGGACATTCATCTCCTGGACGGCGATGTCGTACTTCGGCCGTCGCACCCTCTACGTCGGTGGCCTATTTCTCCTAGCCATTGTGCTATTCGTCATCGGGTTCGTCTCAATCGCTCCGTCCACCTCCGCCATCTCCTGGGCCACCGGCTCCATGCTTCTCGTCTATACCTTCATCTACGATTCCACTGTCGGACCCGTCTGCTTCGCTCTCGTGGGCGAAATCCCATCCTCCAGACTCCGTACTAAAACCGTGGTCCTGGCCCGAAACGTCTACAATATTCTGAACCTAGTCACTGGAATCATCATCCCCTATATGCTGAACGTGGACGCCTGGAACTGGCGTGGAAAGTCTGGTTTCTTCTGGGGTGCGCTGTGCGTTTGCTGTTTGACGTGGTCGTTCTTCCGCCTGCCAGAGCCTAAGGGACGGTCATATGCCGAGCTGGATCTGTTGTTTGAGAGACGGGTCAAGACGCGGGAATTTGCGACAGCTAAGACTGGGTTGGAGGATCTGCAGGGCGACGGGAAGGATGATATGGTGAAGGTTTGAGTTTTAGTATAGGATTCAGTTAGGTTTTGTGTAATAAGGTGCCAGTGGTGTTCTTGTGTAGGGAGTTTCTGTCATACTATTTCGTTCAGTTATATACTTTCAGATGTTTATACCTTGTTTTGTTCCGAATTGGCTTTGCAGAAGGCCTAGAAGGTCTCGCAGATATACAACATAGCCTTGTTCAAACATGAAATAACTTAATTCATTGAATTGACATCGCAGTATATTTTGGGCATCATAGATTAGATCCAATGGGTATGATAGCTTATGAGGAATGGATATCTTGAGTTATTATGTAAGTAGCTTTGCTAAGTTCCTCAAACTCTGTAGGATAATATGTAATCTGCTGTGCCCCCTATGGAATTACGGCATTTACCACGCTTATCGGGTACTTTCTACACAAGACAGTGTGATCTTTCTCCCTGAATTCATTATTCGCTAATGCACTGCCATTAGTTAATCTTAAGGAGCTCAACCTCGCTGCAAGATGACAGTTAGTCTCACACGATTAATGTCAGGTTTACGTGATTTTGCGACTTACAAGATGAGAGTAGAGTTTGCAGGGATCTTGCCAGCCGCCCTACGTAGAGAAGATTGTTAGAATAGGTTCACTCGACGCACTTCGCAGCGTGCCAAAATGATTAACTGAATATTGTCTGGTAGCATACTTGTCACCGTAGCCATAGTCCCTAAATAAAATGGTCAGTATTATGCTATATTTCTACATCTTGTAAGGGAAGTTTGACTTACGGAGTAATGGTCAGAGTAGACTTCTCTCCCAGGCTCATCTGCATAACACCCTCATCCCAACCTAACCCGTCAATGTCAGCAACGTAAGACAATACATCAAATGACGGCCAGTAGCGAAGAAGAGCTTACCCTTGATAACCTTTCCAACACCAATCTGCACATTCAAAGGGCCACGGCCCGGCGATCTAGAACTATCGAACCTATTGACTTACTCAGCGTTCCAAAGCCCCTGTAAAAGAAGCCGAAGACTCCGGTGGAGGATACGCCGGCTTACTGCTTGCCCTGGAAGCCCTTGTTGGCCTTCTTAGCGTCGTAGATCCAGCCGGTGTAGTGGATCGAGACCTTGTCGCCGGAAGCGGGAGAGGGGCCGCTACCGCGGGTGATGATCTTTCTCTCGACACCCATAATGAATGTTTATTTTGTAGGAAATGTAAGAGTGACAAAAAGTACTGAGAGTTGGTGGAACAAGAGAGGTTAGAGGGGAGAGGGAACGCTGATTCGTATTTTTCCTCGAAGTGGGGGTGCGGTTCTTATCATTTCTGCCAGCAGATTCCTGTACTGATGGTGATTATTCGGTATTTTTGGACTTATACTTGAGGGGTCAGTGTGCAAACTAGATATCTATATATTCTATGTATTCATCCACCATATGTGACCTTTTAAGGATCCAAATAACTGAGAATTGGCGTTATATTACATGTGTAATAGAATGTATTTTGCTTCACGTGATTTGTACCCAGATTATATAATCAGAATTCACCAAGTGACTATCATGTGACTGCCTTGTATTATTACCATACCGATAAACGAATCGACTTTGGTTAAGTCAAGCCTTCCCTATAACCCCACCATTGCAATTATCGGGAGGGTAGTCTACTTTTTTATTGTTACTATTTTACTATAGATTGCGATTTGTTAAGAACAATGGCACCGGATAGCAGAATCTCACCCATTCATTGTTAAAGGGTACGCACGGTTCCCAAGGCTGCTTTCAACTCAGGAGCAACACTGAGTGGACTAGATGAGTGCCTTGTCTAGACAGGACCAGGTGATTGACAAAGGGAGTAGCCCTCGGAGTCCGGTGCTTTCCCTATTCTCCTACTAAACACACAACATCTACTCCATGCACTACCGTGGCACCAAAAAACCCCCCTTAGGACGGAGATAAATGAAGTGGCTTAGTAGACTAGCTCTTGGTGCCTCAGGCCGCGGAGCCCCGCCCTTGACGCGGTATTGGCTTGGTGACGCGTGCGGCCAGACTCTGATGGAAACCTCCTAGTTCAGTAGTGAATCTAGTCGGGGTGTTTAGGCCGGACTGCAATATGGTCGTGTCTGATAATGGAGATGCGGCTCTTGGGATATATGATAACGAAATTCCAGTCTTGTTCACGAGCGTCGTTCCGGAAACGACGTCTACAGCTTAGATGACTAGTCAATACTAATTCAAACCTATAATAGAAAATGCATATGGGATAAGATATTCAGTCAGGACTTGGAATGCGTCGAGATAAACAAATTGGTACGTGACGAATTTAAGGAAAGGGGTTGCTAGTATGATCGATTTCCTTTCTGTGAAGTGATTCATAAAGTGATTGTCCTGTCTTGCTTCAGCGAACAAGAGTAGCTAAGCCTATTTAAATGGGCGATTTAATAGAGTTTCTAAATTTCTTTCTAGTAAACTAGCTACTTCCAATTTAAATAGAATCGGCTGCCTAAGTATGTTGCAAGGTATAGTGCGCTTTTTGAATCAAGATACTTATTGGTCGAAATATATATATCTTACCCGCCACCATTTCTCCCCGTTTACAAGTCTCAAAGCGAGATTCAGTTTTATTTGACTTTAAATTCAACTTGATAGTAATCAACTACTAGAAGAAATATATTTATAGATAGAAGAATATAGATAGTGCCTCGGAATCTTAAAATTTCCCCCGCAAACCCCGCACGCTTGGTCATCAAGTGTCGTGCGTGTGGGCGAAGAATGAAGCGAATCCACTTTCCAGTGATAAGCGCCCATCGGAAAGGCTTACTGGCGCGTAAGCACCTTGTAAAGTGCCATAAATCCGCCTAAGCCCGACAGTAAGCCGCTTCATGCCATATGGGTATAAAAGACCTCTTTTCCGACATCAAGAACTTGCCCACACAACTATTTTTTTTCTACAGTGTCCTCCCTATCAAAAAGGTCAGTTACCATAATCGTATAGAATAATTCATTTACCATCCTCCCAGTCTAATGCTGAAAGCTAGATCGCCAAAACTCCGGCAGATCTCTAACATCCAATCATGCCCGAATCGATCATCATCCGCAGCTCCTCCAACGGTGGCCAAGCCACCGTCAAGCCCACCGCTACGTTCACAGGTGATGTTTATCTCGACTTCTTGCATAGGGATGAAAAGACTACGATTGCCAATGTTACTTTCACTCCCTGTGCACGGACATATTGGCACACCCACGAAGAAGGGCAATTCCTGAAGGTTGTAGCCGGTTCTGGTTGGATCTGTGACCAGGGCAGCGAACCACGCCGCATCAAGATGGGGGATCTGATCTGGGCTCCTGCGGGGACGACCCACTGGCATGGAGCGGATGATGGTAACATCATGACACATTTCGTGATTGGTTTGGGTAAGACTACATGGCACGATCCAGTGACTGATGAGCAGTATAATGCCAAGAAGGATTAGCTTTGGGGAAGAAAAGACTATTTGATACAACATAAAGGAATGTGCTTCGGTTGAGTTCATTTGGAACTCCTTCAAGGGACAAGTGGCACATTGGGAAACGGACTTGTTTCATTGTGAAGAAGTGATTAATTGGATCATCGATACTCTAGCAACCTTGATATCTACAGGAAAAGTAGCCAGTCTCCAACTCTCAGTTGTGTCTGTGACCCCCATAGGTACATACATCATGGATATCGTACTTCTTGGGCGTTGGAACTGTTTATTTGTGATTTGGATTGGAATTGATGTATATCCAGAATCTGTAGGTATGGAAGCCTGTTTTCTAGTCAAGGAAATTGTCATTAATTAATTCATCATTAAAAGCCACAGGCTATCAGGTATCATAGTCACCAGGACAATCTTCCATGGACTTGGTGTATATCCTTCTCAGAAGCACTGGACAGTAGTGATATGTATGCAAGCACACAGTCTCAGATTTGAGTGAAGTCAAAAAAAGCTGAAATTGAGTTTTGGAGCTTCTATTTGGATACCGAGAATATCAACCACTGAAACCCTCATTTCCCCATAGATAGATATTGTGACAACGTTCATCTGATATAGCCAGAGACATGGTTATGCCGTGGTCGGATATTGCACCCGCAATGACATGTCTTGTCCTCCACGTTTCGATTCTCATAACCATTTAAGATCGGTCTTTTACGCACTGATTAATGGACCTTTGCTAATGGTATTGTTGAATCACTTTGGTGTGAAAGTCCCAGATTTCCGGCCTCCCCCAACTCGGACAACCTTGCGAGTACGCATGTACTGACAGGAACGCTGCACATAGATGCCTAGGCATATAAGTTGGTTCAATACAATGAGATCCCGATAGTTCTCTTCTGAGACATCAATGGTATCCCTTTGTCTCAGACCAAAGCACAAATCCCGGAAAGCTATTTGGCAGGATATATGCGACCGGCTTTTGGTTCGGTAGCTGGAGATGAGCTAACTGAATAAGTATATGATATGATACTATGATCGCCAAATAAAGCTAGATATTTGGGTTTCAAACACGAGCGGGTCTGTCATGTCTCACCCACTTTTTGGGTCTAATTTCCAAGGGGGGATCTTCCCCGGAATTTCAGACCACTAGCGATTCAATTCCCGTCGATCACCCGAATATTTAGGCCTTTTCACGTCAATGTAGGTCACAGCTAAACCGTTTTGGAATTGAAATCGTCCAATTTTGAGGCACCATGGTTCCCAATCGACTGGGGATTCTTCTCTCCATGTAAGGGGTTGCCGGCAAGGTATAAAGCTGCCCAAGTATCTCTGGAATGCTACCATCCTATTCTCAGCATCATCATCGTTTTCAATATTGCCATTCATACTTCCTCAGTACTCTCTACCGTTCCACGGCCCAATCAATTCACTATCACCATGAAGTTCTCCGTCCTCTCTATCCTCACCCTCGGCCTCACCGCCGGTGTCCTCGCCGCCCCTGCCAACGTGGAGCGCGATCTCCCTACCATTAAGGGTGTCCTATCTGGCATAGGCCCCAAAGTTGATGCCCTCGACTCAGCAATCCAGGCATACACGGGCGGCGACGTAGCCAAGGTTCAACAAGCCTCCGACAACCTTGTAAATGCCATCAATGCCGGCACTACCCAGGTTAGCAGCACCTCTGCTCTCAGCGGCGGCGATGCTCTCGGTCTTCCTGGCCCCGTGAACGAACTCAAGCAGAAGATCACTACAGCCGTTACCCACCTATCAGGCAAGAAGTCCCAGATTGTCCAGGCCGGCAAGGGCGGTCAGACCTATAACGACTTGGTCCAGCAGAAGAACGCAGCTAAAAAGCTATCGGATACGATTGTTTCCAAGGTTCCTGATAATTTGCAGAATATTGCCTCTGGAATCGCGGGTGGTATTTCTGATGCTATTGAGAAGGGTGTCAAGGACTTCCAGGACCAGGCTGGAAAGGGTGCCAAGCGCGATGTGGCGAGCACCGAGGCTGTCGCTGCCATTGCCGTCTAAGCAGAGGCTTGGGCGAACTACTTCCCGATTTTGAGCCGTTGGTTAGTTTGGGTTAGCACCGATGTGCCATGGACCGTGTCGTTATGCGATCGAAGCTCGTGAAAGATGGGGCATGTTGAACGGGAGCAATTGAGTGGGATACCTGTGCTCGAGCAGCGTTGCCAATATAGTTTCACAGCATTACGTATTCAATATTATTACGGCATTCGGCATTTCTCAGCTCCATAATTCCCTTCAAGACTTAAATTGTTGCTTGTAGTCACATGGTACTGGACTGTGGTGAAGAGGAGCATTAACTTTGTCTGCAATTGTGAGCAGTGATCTGGGTCTGACATTTAAGAGGTAATTATGGATCAAGTCATATGAGGTATCCTATGTATCATTTATTGCTATTCGTTCTTATTATATGTTTCACGTCCTTCTAATCGATTTTAACTTCTTAAAATTCTATTCCTATCGACTGTATCTCGTCTATTTTGCACTATCACAAATGGAGACTTGAATATATAATTTATACATATCAATTTCCTACACCTCCAATAAATCCCTCAACACATCAACAGGTGTACGCTTTGGTGCAGCAAGCTCCAGCACTTCCTTGCTGGTTGTAGCGGCCATGCACTTCCCTTCCCACGCCGTCACCGGAGCGTATTTTATGGACAATATAACGTTCGTAGATTGTTGGGCTCCCAGGGATCCAGCGTCGAGAAATGAATCAACAAACGACATGTCTTCATAGCTAACATGTTGAACCTTTGTACCGGTATGCTGCTCAACCATATTGACGATCTGGGCCCCGGTGACATCCTCCAGACCATTAAGCACGTACTTGGCTTTGTTGTGTACAGTAGTGTCATCCTGGGACAAGAGAAGAGCTGCAAAACGTCCAACCTCATCGGGATCAACAATGCCGACAGGAGCATCCTTTGCCGCCATTAACTTCAAAGTGTCTTGGGTCCCAGTCTTGCGGTACTGCCTGATAAACTCCGCGGCTGTAAATAGATACAACGGTGAAAAGACATTGGGCTGGAGCGAAGTCCACTGCAAATTGCTAAATTCTGGTGAGCTCAGCAGGGCCTCGATCGCCCAATGCGTGCGCGCGTAGTAGGCATCGCAGTCTGGTCGAACGTTTGCAGCAGTGGTTGAGATTCATACGACGTACTTGACTCCAGCTTTCAGGGCAGCCAAATGGAATGTTGATTCTTCAGCAAATTGGTTGGGTGCATTGTGTGATGCAATGAATGCCCTGACTACCTCATGTTCGCGGAGCCAGTCGGCGGTGATTTCAACCCAATTCTGCTCGACCATCTCGACACCAGGCACTTTTGCGAGCTGCTTGGAGACCGGACTATCCAGGGAACGTGTGAGACCAATGACTCGGTGATCAGACAGAGACTTTGTAGCTTTGAGTGGCTCTGGCAACGTTTCAGTAACACTTCGGCCAGTGTTACCGGTTGCACCGATAATCAGGATTGAGGGAGCCATAGTACAAGGAAACAAGGGTACTGCTTGAAAGTTGATGAAAAAGATGTGTTAGAGTATCGCCAAATTGCTGCGGTGCTGATTGTGAATTTATAGTTTGCTACGAGCCTCTGGAGGGTAGAAGTTGCTTAACAATACGGTTGAGGTGGATGTGTACTATGTCTGGGTGAGTGGGATCTCCGGCTGTAGTGGGATCTCCGTCGATTATGAATCCATGGCTGTGTTTACATAATCCATCAAACCTACTTCGTTAACAACCATTCCTCAGTGCAATTTGGCAACGTGTCAGCTTTTTAATTTTCGTGAACAAGGCACTCTCCATAGCCCTACTGGATGAGAACTCCAGATCTGGCATGGACCCCACAGGAAAATTCAGCTGTGAGTTCCCTGGCTGCAACGCAAGCTTCGCGCGGAAGGGGCACCTGAATCGCCACAAAGCGCAACATGTCCCCCAGCGGTCATTTCCATGTCTAGTGTGTGGTCAGGGATTTAGCAGAAAGTAAGGAGGCCATTCTTGGCTATTTGATATGTCTTATGTTCCAACCACAACCCATTGCATCTAGGGATATACTCCGTCGACATGTGCGGCAGAGGCATCAAGGAAGTCATCTCGCGCCGTCAATAAAGCAAGCCTGTGTAAATTGTCGGAATCTCAAATCTCGTTGTGAAGGGGGTCCACCGTGCACCGGATGTCTTCGCCGCCGCATGCACTGTTCCTTCAATGATCAACCCAAGCATCGTCCACAACAGGCTCTCGAGCACGGTTCTTCGGGGAAAATAGAACACTTCCTCAAGTTGTACTTCGAGGCGTTCCATCCACATTGGCCGTTCATTCACCAAGGGTCATTTAACCAAAGCAAGGAGACAACTCTGCTTGTACAGTCAATGGTTGTCATTGGCATGTGGTCTAGTGGTGTGCAGAGTAACCGGTCCGCAGCAATCGAACTCCATGCAATTCTCAATTCGGCTATATATGAACAAAGAGTTGGTCTCATTAAAACCCCCGGCTTGGTGAATATGTTAATAACCGGAGAACCTACAGGAGAAGTGGGATGCTTCAATTTCAAAGGATGCGTCGAGCAATTGCTCATGGCCCATTCCAATGTACCAGGCCATTCTACTTCATGTAATATTTTCATTAATAGGTAAAGGCAATGTAGATCTTGGGCTCGATCTGAAGCCTTCCCTACCGGCCACTGATCTTGATCTTCTCTCTTCATTGGTGCTGAGCTGCAGAGCATTAGGCATGTTTCATTATCCAAATATGCTTGCACGGTACCACCCGGACGACCTGGCCGACTATGTCTTGGTTGGGGTCGAAGAGGTTAAACGTTTCGATATAGCTCTGTTCAGAGTCTGCAAGTCGATAAGCTCGGATAGAGGAGAGACTCATTTAGAGCATCGTGATACTTCAAGGGCAAGGTGGCAGGTCACTGCAAGCGAGCTACAATTTCCGATGCCGAAGAATGAGTTGATGTGGAACGCTATAACCGAAAATGAGTGGAAATCTGCCGCCACCGAGGGCATAGAACACATCAATCTGAGTGATTCCATGGAGTTGCAGTGGATCTCCAACTCAGCAGAGCTTCTGCAGCTAACCTAACCTGGCTGTTGTATGGTGCCACTACGTTCCAGACTAAGGGTCCTTTGTGTCTTTGTCCATTTGATGGAGGTTAACTGATTTTGGAGTCCAACATCGTCCTTTAACATCAGATGTGTGTCGTGAACGGTCCATGACAATCCCCCTTTCTCTAGCAGTTCTATCTTTGTGATGGATGCAAGGATAAAGGTATGGTCTCAATGCGAGAGATCGGGAACTGAGTGGAGAAGTACCTGAATCACTACAGTATCCTATCCAGAAAATATGTTCAATGATAGTCGGAGCTGGTCCAAGGCATTGTAGACTTGTACGGAGTAAAGCTGTGACTCGATCTAGTGCCACGGAGCTAGGCCTTCTTCCTTTGTTCAGCCCAGGTTCTACCCCAGGGAGCCTACTGCTAATTGCTGCCGAAGCGTTGGATGATGCGCAAGGGCCCCCACAACGCTCAATGTCTTTCTTACTAACCCCAGATGACCACACGAAGGAACCCCACACCGTTGCCAATCCATAGGATGTAAGATGCTTTTTCTAGAGCTCGCTGTTAAAGTCAGATATTGGGTGTCTACCTGGCACAGGGTCACGTGCCAGGGCATTGGTATTCTTGGCCTAACATCCATAACTTTATCTGCGATTATTCTTCCTTCCTTTTTTACAATACATTCTACACAATGGCGTCTGCCTTGTTCACAGACCCCAATGGTGAGCCCCTGCAGGACAATGAAGCTTCAGGATATGGAATAACAGGGGTTGTGATCCACTGTGTACCAAACCCATAGCTGCTATCAATTTTTACTACGCACTGCAACAGGTGGGGCGCCAAGAATATCCGCGATGGACAGCCAAGAAAGCTTGTATTATCAAGTCCTACGCAGAAGATACTAAACTATCGGTTCAAGAAAGCTCTCAACACTAGACTGATATAGCAACCCGTCATTTCAGAAGTGCCGAGGCCACTGGTACGTGTCTCAGGCATCGGTGAAAGATCGATGTCTCTAGACCGAAGTAGCTCGCGATAGCTGTGCGCTATGTAGCAGTGGATAGGGGCTAGGGAAGAAAACGCCGTTTAGACCCTGGCTGCCGCTAAATCGGGACGCTAGATTTTCTGGGGCATAGCTATGAGTCGTCAAAAGGAATCCCTAACTCCGTGTGAAGCCAATAAAAGCTTTCTTGGCCCTTCATGGAAGTATTGGCAGAGGTCGTCGGTATCTCTGGATAATTATATAGAGCGATAACTTAGGGGAAATAAATAGCTTCGGAGTAGTGGTATACACACGATCAACCAGATACACATAATTCAAAAAACTTATTTCGGGTATAGGTATAGTTGAGCTCTGGCCTACTCTTGTGTCAAAGCAGTACCAATGCACTAAGAAATAGAGCTATGGCATCACTTGCGGTATACGTTTGTACATTTCGCTGGTTGACATTTAATTAGTATCCACTCATTTAAAACGCTCTCCTTTATCACAAGATCAAGATTACGAAACCTATATTGGCACCCAAGACTAAACTGGCAAGCCTCATGGTGAGAAGCCTCGCCAATTAAACTGGAGATCAACTAAGATGAGGAAAAAGATCTTGTGATGAGCGGTGATATGCAGAGATGTGCATCAAAAGTTCTTGCGCTGACGCTGGTAATGTTGGCCTAAGGCAATATAAATACCCTTACTGTACATGTGACTGGAGGCCAATTATGTGCTATTTAACAAACAATGAAAAAGTGTTCTCTATTGAATCCACTTCTTTGTTTAAAGTAAGGCTATTACGTTGCCTGAGGCCAAAGTTACTAGTGACAGCACCAGGGCCTTTGCTGTAGAACTCTGTATATCACCGCTTGTTACCGATTATAGCGAGATTTCACGTAGTGCACAGCTTTGTCTATTGCAAGGCTTGACTGGTCCTCAAAGAAAGACAGTAAAATGGATTTAGCTAAGGGAAAGACTTTGTCACTCAACACGCTTTGTGAGAGCCCTATAAATACCTTGTAGACCGTCGTCCTAGGTGCATGGGTGTATGCACGATCCGACTTCTACGACAAGACGTATTTCCAGCTCTGCGTTAGCCATAGCCAACTCTCACAACGTTTCCCAACCCTTGGACCCGGTTGGCCCGCTCAAAGTCACTCTCGACTATGGCCTCGCGACAACGTGGCCGAACCCGCAGGACGTCCATGATAACACTGCCCACCGCAACTGGCAATATAGCAGCCACATCGTGTTCGCGAATCGAGTCGGGGATTCTGATCAGAGTAACCCTCCCATCTCAGATGGGCAGCTTTGGCAAATCGGGCGAGATGCTGTCGATGAATTGATCCGCGATCGAATCCGCTATGGCACAACCTCTTATTCACAGCCGAAAGCCATGACAGTCCTAGCCTGGGGGAACGAAATCATCCTTGCCTCCTCTATGAAAGGGGCGGGCTCTTTCTCCTATGACTTTCTTGGCGGTGACACACCGGTTGGCAGAAGTCTGCAGCAATGCCAGATGGTCTGGAGAGATACCAGCTTACCTGACAAAGATAAGACACAAATGCACAACAAGAACGGCAATTGTACAGAGCTCATGGCGGTCAACCTGTACTATAAAAACAACGCGATCAACTTGCGAGATCAAAAAGCGAGGATTGGTACATGGGTCAACGGGACACACGGATGGAAAAAGAAAGATCCATGTGGATCTGACAGCCAGGTATGTAGTCAACGTCCCCGTTGGTGTATTCTTCTCAGTAATAAACTAACAAATACGTAGGACTTTTGGGGCTGCAATCTTTTTACCGCAAATCAGGGGCTGAAGGTCTTAGAGAAGGAAACGCCGGAGGAGCCCTACACCTTGGCAACCCTTGCAGGGGGCCCGACTATTCAGGACCAGATTCAGTTATGCGGGGGTCAACCCAGGGTATTTAGTGGCTAATTTAGGGCTAGCTATTAAATTAAAGATAATATCTAGGTTGACCTCGTATAGCAGAATCTGGTCCTGAATAGTCGGGCCCCCTGCAAGGGTTGCCAAGGTGTAGGGCTCCTCCGGCGTTTCCTTCTCTAAGACCTTCAGCCCCGGTATCAAAAATGTAGCTTAAAAAAACACTTCACTTCGCTCACTTATTTCAACCTGAATTTCAACCTGACGACCCATGGCTATGAGCCCCCGTATGAACGGAGGGTACCGTTCGCGCTCTTTGAACATCTTTGTCGACAGGCGAAGTCCTTGGAGACGGGGTGTGAATTTCTTCCAGTCTTGCAGCCATGATCGAAAAGCTCCCAATAGATATTCAGTCTCAAATTGCCATCCCGAGTCACACTGCAAACACAAATCGTCAGTGAGGGTCAGCCATTGGATGCTTTTTGGAAGCGATTCCTCTAGACCAACCACATTTGGTAACAAGGGAGAAAATCCAAGTAAAAATGGTATCGGAACTTCTAACTTCTCAAGCATGTGGAGTCCGCTAAAAGCCTTGAAGGACCAGCTAACTGTGATGTCTGGGAATTCAATGTCTCCGTCGACGCCATCCGATCTTGCTGTAATAGTCAAGTCCGTCAAGGTGTCTTGAACATGAGATAGACCCGCGGCGATTTGATCCAAATCAATAATATCTGTTACAAAATGATCTTCAAGATCCGGGCGGAAGTACCAATCCCATCGAAGCTTCCGTAGCCCTCTGGTGACTGATAACACTTGTCCGAGATGCCGTTCGCGTAACATCGTCAAGTCGAGCGATGCGAGTCTCAATGGATTCGGTGGATATTTTCTAGGCCACATGAAAGTAGCGGGATTATCCACTAAGACCCGTATCCGTTCAACTGACGGCAAGTAAAAGAGGGTGAGAGCGTCTGCTGTGTTCCTGGCGTCGGTGTATCCGCGAATAAAAAGACCTGGGTAGGGATACATGGCTGACACATCCCGGAGACTTGCAAAGGAATGGAGATCATTATCTTGAGACTTATCGCAGAGGGCCGAGCGGAGCATCAAGCCCATGAAGCGGCTCTCTCGGGCAAAATTCTTGCCCAAGTAGAGAGATCTCAGATTGGGGAGCCGTGATAGTAAAAGTGCGCTAAACGCGTCCATCGTTCCTGCTCGCAACTCTTGGATCCATTGTTCACCATATGGGATATCGATCTTTTCGATACATCGCACTAGCTCGTCCAAGACATCTTCGGTAACTGGGAGTTTGGGGCTTTTCTGTTTATAAGCTAACCGGCTGCGTTCGAAACAATCTCCATTGAGGATCACAGCATGCACAAGACTGGCGAGCTCAGGCCTGTGCACAATGCTTCGCAGAAACTGGGCGATCGGGGGGTTCTGAGACTCCGTCCATGTCCATTCAATGTGAGCGTAGAGCAATGGCTCGGCAACAAAGCGCCAGCTTCTCCGCATCAAGCATACGGCGGAAAGGTCGCTGGGCGATAGGGGTGCAAATATCATGTGTAAAAGCTCTGGGGGGTGTTGAGAACAGCGGATGCCATTTTATTTGATGTTTCCTGACCGTCCAGGGGATACTCGGCAAGGCATAAAGTGATGCTAGAGGTCTGATGCCAGTTAGGAGCAGCAGGACAACGTGAACGTCACTGTCAACCGTTAGCGGGTAAGGGATTTAAAGAATTTCCTACTTCCTGCTCGCGCGGACTACTAATTCACACTAGTCGAACACTAACTTTGGTTCGTTAGTCTCGCATAATGAGGACGGTTGTACGGCGGACTCAATCGAGGTTCCAGACAATGTAAAATATTACCAGCTTTATCAATACTACTAACGCACTATTCAGCTAACCAAGTAAATCTATTTATAGGGTTCCATTATATCTATTAATCAATTACTTGCTTTCTTTAACTCGTTCTAGAATAAAGCTCTGGGCTATGAACTAGTCCAAGTCCGAGATATATCCTGTCTTTTGTTACTGCCTGGAAAAATCTTTTGAGATCGCGGATATACTATTCTTAGAAGCTATCAGTATCCAGGGAGTAGTAGCGATATTTGGGGGTAGTAAAATACTATTTTTAGGGGCTGATAGTAGAGAGATTCAGCAAAGTACATACGTGGTAGCCGTGGCTTTATGTAAAACGCTTAGATTTCGGTGAGCAATCTTGCCGCTGGAATTTCAGCCACTGGAGTACATCGCGTTTCATCATCCCGTCCGGCGTACCTAAAATCATGCATCTCACACCCTCAACCACCTTTTGTCGGAGCACTACTCCGTAGTCCGTCCTGGGTTGCTGGTAGTTAACTAACCCAAAAGCAGGCAAGTCTTCAACTCCCATGACAGCTGGAACTACTCCAACGGGGAGCGTCCTTGAGCTTCCTCCCACGCCACCGCCTACAGAAGAAAAGCCGTTGTCAAAGAGTGCTCAAAGCGTGGTGAACCCCATCCTCACGTCAGAGGAGCTTTGTGATTTTCTCTTCAGCGTGGAAGCAATGCAACAGTCGCAGACTCTACTCCAAGGCTCAATCAATCGGATTCGGCCAGGCGTTTTGAAACGTCCTCGAACGCAAACCCTTCCGGAACGGGTAAGCCCAGGGGAAGAATCTGTAGGAAGGGTAGGAGACAGCAAACAAGGGCGTCAAAGCAGCGACTACCGCCCCAACTCCTCTTCTGAGGACTCGAAGGGCGAGTTTCATTGAATGTGTAGATACAATATTGCTCTCGTCTTTGTCGCATTGTCAAGCCACGTGGCCTTCATTTGAAGGGGGATATCCACATGCTTGTTCATCTTCTTCTCGCCTTCTCCCCCAAAAGGCAACACGGACGCCTGTTCCACAAAAGTAACTTGGGCATTCTTCTATCTGGGTTCATTTTTTGCGCACTCTTCTCATCGACGTATGACACAAATATGCAAAGTCGAATGCGCCCCGATGATGTAACCTACCGTTTTTTCCCCTGAGGAAAAAGTCGTGAATGAGGTTGCTATCATACGATTTCTCACGGATAAAATTTCAGTACCCATTGCTTTTATCCATCACTCAGGGACAAAAAGAAGAGAGCCCCCTGGAACTAAGTCGATTTATTATAATGGATTATGTCGAACATGAGACGGAAATGCACGACGCTCTCAATACTCCGGGATGTCCCCCATATGAACGCGGAATTCTGGACCCAGCCATCGACAAAGATCGTCTTGAGATACTATATGGGCAGCTAGCAGCTATCCTGCTTCAACTTTTCACACCCTCCTTGCCTGGTATTGGATCTCTTAGCCAGATTGATGACTTCAACTGGGACGTAACACGCCGACCTTTGCCTATGAACATGAGTGATGTAGTCCGACTGGGTACATTACCGCGGACGAAACTTCCCAATCTACATGCTATATTTACAACAGCTGCTTCCTATTTCGAAACTCTCGCAGACCTTAATATTGAGCATTTCGTACACTATCGAAACGATTCTGTGGAGTCCGCGGATGACTACCGTCGAAAACTTGCTGCAAGGCGGCTTTTTTGCAAACTCGCCAGAGACAAGCGACTCACCAGCCCTTTGCTGAAGAAAGGACCCTTTAAAATATGGTGTGATGATTTTTTGGCCAAATAGATTTTGCTGCCCGATGGCCTTGATGACTCTTGACTAGATTTCGCATCGCTCTTTTCTTCCTCCTTTCACGCAGCTCAAAGCCACCTTTGTCATTGCGTTATTATGCCCGTCCCTGTCAGTCTTGAATTCAATTTTTGAATTGTTTGTACCTGACTAGGACTTTGAATGAAAGATAATACATTAGGTTGCAGCTCTCAGCATCTTCTAACTTCGCTCGCTGCATACAAGTAGCAACGGCTAATAGGGTAATTGGGCTTAGCCCGAGCTATTTTAATTCGAAGCAGACGGTTACCTGCTTGATGATTCAACCAACAGCAGCGGACCCACCATCGGTATGAATATTTGAATTTTGACCTGATGAGAAAATATAGGAATTCGTTGTCTTGGGATTGCTCCCTGAAAATGGCCATTTCTCCTAGTCTGGCCAAGGCAATACCGTTAGCTGGGATGTAATAACACGACTATCTACATGGTTTGGACATAGTACCATGTATGGAAACCGGCTGGAGGAGTTTTCCGAAGTCTTTGCCGAAACACAGCTGTGCTCCGAAAGAAGCGTTGCACCGTTGATCTCGTGGTTGTCATTGAGGATCGTAGTTTGTTGCGTATATAGTGTATCGTACTCAATAACCAGTCCAGGAATGGGCCTCTGGTAGCGAAGAGAGTCCATGACCACTGGGTGGGAGAGTAGGGTGTCAAAGCAAGTGGTGGTCAGCCCCGTCAGCTCCGTGAGATTTATACCCCGCCTACTGAATCAGAAAGGCTACCTTCAAGTCAGTGTGACTTCGGCTCGTCAATCTTAACCTAGTTCAATAACACATATCCCTGTTTACACTCTCTACTCAACCGTTTAGAGTGTTCCTCGGAGTCGTTCAAACTGATGGTTGGTCCAGGAACAGTTCTGTTTACTTTTCCTGAAGGCAAAGCTGGCAAGATTGCACTGGATCTGCTTGGCAGATGGAAGACATTTGTGGAGGTCTTTTTGATGGACATAAAGGCAGCAGAATCCTTTCATCTTTCGACCATCCAACGGCTAGAACATTCTACTAAGCATCAAGACATACAACAAACGTAGGAGTGTCATTATTGATGCCATAAAGACACTCAACAAAGACAATGTGCAGCCTCCCACGGAGCCAGGTTGAAGATATCGGACGAGTGGTAAATGAGCCTTGACCAAGACACATTGAACAGGCTCATTTCCTCCTATGACGAGCAGGTGTGGCAGGAGTACAGATATGGCTCTTTCCAGTAAGTCGAACTTTCTGCGGAATAACTCTCATGCTGACGTTGAGAGAGTTCCAGTTGACGACCTAGGAAAGAACGGTATATGCGATGCCATTCACCAGGCGTGGGCTAAGCGTAACATTCTCTTCATGTTCATCGATCAACGGGGGTTATTCAATATCCGGGACAAATTGCCCCCAACAGCATCATCTCTTGATAGCCCTCCTGGGGAGAGAGCCATTCTGCCTGTTATACCTCGAGAGGTCTTTGGTGTGGCCAACAAATTGGGGGTGCAAGGACGATTTGTCAACAACACCCTGTACCCTGTGGGCGAGATTGCCAATCTGCTAAAAGTTAGGCGTCCGTTTCGGAGACGCCCAATACGGTAGGAACAGACGCCAGGATGGGGCGAAGAAAGCAGGGAAGCAGACGCTCGATAGGCTGCTCAAACACGGAATGTTGACCCGAATCACTACTCAAGACTATTTGGCAGGAACAGCCAAGGGTAAATTTAAGTTGCGAGAGGAAGCGCTTTGGAATTTATAACTTGGATGGTGTTTGATGGATTTCTTGGATCAAGACCTTGAGATCGCGTTCCACAGTTGGAACCGGAAAGCTTTATTTCTCATACACTCTGGTCCTGCCAGCTCCCCACGCCGCGTACTCTACATGTCGCTCAACCCGAAACTTGAGGATCCGAAGACAACACAGTTATGCGAATCTATTGGCCCAGGTAACCCAGTCCTACTATCGTTCGCGAGACTGCTCCTTGAGATAGAATGTGGTTTTAGAACTGACATGGAGATTCATCCTCAAACCGACCACAACTTGAGCAACTGGGCCCATATGTGTGCTTGCCTTAGCAGAGTCGACAGAGATGAAAGCACTAACTACTTCCAAGCTGTGGAGGGGCATCTCTATCTCCACATGCTTAGCCAAACAACCACTTCAGAAACGAATGACGCGATAAGAAAAGGCTATCTACGAGAAGACAGGGTATAATTTGGAGGTCATGGCGGACCCTAAAATTCTCAAAGCGAAATCAACGTGATTCAACATCTGAACGACCCCTAGCAAAGAAGTTTCAATCTCATCGCTAGACATTGAATACCCACTGAATGCAAAATGTTCACCAGAAGCTTTGCCTTCTAATGCCAATAGCACGGTCTTCAAAAGAGTCACACGCCCAGCCAGTCGAAATGATTTTCAAACTGTAATCGTTTCCGCATTGGCAATTGAGTATGACGCTGTGTCTCTCCTCCGAGACGAATTCTGGGATGAAGACTATGATCACTAAGGAAAGGTCGACGGTGATCGGAATGTATACACGACTGGGCTAATTGGGGAATTTAATATTGTCCTGGTGCTTCTTCGCAATATGGGTAAAGTCAGTGCGGCTAGCGCTCTTTGCTTGAGCTATTCCAAAATTAGGGTTGCTCTTCTCACTGGCATCCGCGGTGGTGTACCTAGTGCTGGAGTCTCGGGTGAGTTTCTACTAGGGGATGTCATCATTGGCAGCCGCATTGTTCAGTATGACTTGGACAGGAAATACCCTGACGGCTTAATGACCAAGCACACGGTGGAGGATAGTCTTGGGCGAGCACCAAGAAGTATACGCAACTTGCTTGCTCTCTGGGAGACAAATCCTGTCCATTCTCAACTTCAGCACATGACCCGCTCCATAACTACAATAACCTCAGTCTAGGGCTAGGCAGCAACAACAGGCCGAAAGATACCGCTATCCGGGAGCATCACAGGACAAACCAGTTCACTCAGAATACCAGCACAATCAGGAGTCTCTCCAGGTTTCATGCGATGAGTGCGGGTGCGATAGCTTATATTTAGTACACCGAGAGCGACTCAAACTGAAGCAGGAACTGAAGCAACAAGGGCACAGCAACCAAGCCCAGGTCTCATGGACTCATCGCTTTCGAAATGGAAAGTGCCAGCCTGTCAGATGACGACTCTTCTTTTCATGAGAACCGCCCTACCGTGAGCGCCCTTCACCTGCTTTTCGCAAAGTATCACCCACCCTCACCCGTCGAAAAATAAAAACGCAAA